CAACTTGCGCTCAGTGATGTCACACGAACACGCTTTAATAATGAATCAAGCACGTGCAAATCACGACGTCCATAATCATTTTAAACAGTTATGAATTCAAGAATTACCTAGATGAGGTTCATCAACATAAATATAAGCTGTTGGTTGTCTTGTAGATATTTGATCTTTCATGTCTCATCATTACGTTAAAGATTAAACCAAAGTATCCATAAAAGTACCTACGTAATGTACTACAAGTATCTACTGCCGTACCATAAGTACATGCTGTCTATTGTATTGTACAGTGAAACAGAAATACGTACATACACAATGATTTTAAGAGAAGCTAATAAAGAACATGCATATATAAATGTTAGCCAGCCTCCCCCCTCCTCTCGCGCGACAATTGTCAACCCACCCAGTCCATAGTGTGCACAAAAGAATACTTTTATCAACAAGGGTGACTTGTACATACCAAAGAACAAAAACCTACCCCTCAGTCCAGAAGTACACACAAAAAGATACTTTTATCAACGAGGGTAACTTGTGTATAACCAAGAACACGAGCAATAAAATTAGATGATGGTTCATGAAGAACTGCAACAGTTGTATTGCTTAGAACAAACTCAAATTGTGTTGACGGCATTTCGACATCTAATGATAAAATGATGTTTTACAATTTTTAATTGTACAATTACTTTTCTTAAATCATTGATATTATTAAAGTAAACGACAGCACGGGAATAAGAAATGTAATTATGTTTACCTATCATAGAGTTTTTTGTCGAAATCTTTTGACTGTGTATTTGACAGCAGTATTTATCACAATGTAGACATCCCTCGATGGAATTATTAAGTTATCAATCACCAATAACTTTACTTCGTCAGATTGAACATCCTAAAAGACAACATGAACGTAAAAGTACAAGAAACATCAATAAATAATCTTAGAGTTTTCCTTCCAGCAATAAATTCCATTTGCGATATTACATTTTAGTGTGATAAATGGAAAAGTTTCTAATTTTGTCAAATCGTTCTGTTTTTACGGTAAAGATTAAATTGAGCGTCGACATTTTTCAATGACTTTGCCCCAAGCCTGGAGCAGCTAATCTTTGTGACGTCACGCACAGGATTCGTTAATACGAGAAATAAGTATATGCCAACTACCTTGGATGACGTCAGAATTAGGCTAGACCCAGACCTCGCGCCACGACGGACAAGGTTCATTAAAAGGCAACTTAAAAGCGTTATAATAAGCCGACGATTTGACCGAAGAATTAAAAATTTTTATTCAAGAACAATAATAAAAATTTTGTTAGTTGGGGCACTTTAATACGTAATAAAACCATGTTTATGAAAAGACGATGTTGAGTTCAAATGTTTTATTTATAATTAAACTGCATCATTTTGATTCCACCCAAACATTGCAACAGTTATTGCAGCTTTTCTCCTATTTTTTTCGGAAACAAGGAAACGTTTCTTCGAAGTTTTCTAATTTACTCACGCTCTCAGATTGATATTTTTGCTTTTTTTATAACAAAGGAAATACGCTTATAAGCTACGTACGAACATCGTTATAATTTTCATCTCCGAAAACAAAACTCACGTGATTAGTCTTTTCACAAAAATAACATAAAGTTTCTAACAATTTATTTGCAAATTGCAGAGAAGTCGCACTGACAGTACGGATCCAAAGATAATACAATGTAAAAAAAACACAGTCTTTTGACTCCCATTTAATTTTGATTCACGTACGTATTATGAGAAGAACATCCATTGACTTCAATTTACATTTTGAACAAAACATATCACAAGCTTATGGTGTAAATAACCACTTCTTGTCTTACAATCGACGGTTTGCAAGCTGAGCGATTTTCTCTTTAAGATCTAAAGTGTAATGTCCATGGTTATGTAGAAGCACGCCATGCACATATTGGACGTCAAGTTAAGTCTCTCAATGAAACGTTAACACGCGATGAACTAGTGCTTAAATGTCTCGTCCATTTTAGGGAAAATAAGAATTCATTAAACGCTCAAAATACGTAACAAACTATATAACATAGGAATTCTTGAATACGTGTGAATTGTTTGCACATTGGAAAACAACACTGTCTGGCTCGTTGTTAGATTTGTGAATTGATCTACGACGTATGGACTATGTTTCATACGTGCATAAAGCTGTCCAAGAAAGACTTAAGTACTACGAAGTACCATCCTTTACATAACCCACAAAATTTACAATAAACGCAACAATTTACAAATTGCCTAAATCATTTTTAAATGGGACAACTTAAACTGTCTAGTGTAAGTTGTGAATACATTAACGATAATTTATATATTTAGCAAACCTGGAAGGTTGGATGACTTAATTTTGCTCTGACCAGTGCTGTTCCTGTTGTTAGGCCTTCAACAATGATACTGCTGCCCCATTAAACCCTAAAAATAAACAATTTTCATGAGTTAAGTCCAACTTCGACAACAGCAATGTGGTAAACATAGAAGACTTGAAGAACTTCTGGTGATTTTCCCAGTAAAAGTTCATGTGTTGTAGTTTGGATTTGAATACAATTTATTTTGCTGACGAATACATCAGCACGAATGACATTGAAAGTTACTGAAAGTAAAAAAAATCAGATAAAATCATGATCTTTGCTTAAATGTATTGAAGTGAAAGGGAGACACTCTTACAGCTGAAATTGCAGATATATCTTTTTAATACAAGATGTTTGTGCTTGTGTTACAATGAGAAATTACTCTTTCCTCATTAATACACAAACATTTAGACAATGACATACATCACATTACAAGATTACAATTGGCATTTGCATTTTCTCTTGAAATTAAGGAGATTACACACACCAAATAAAATATTTAATATATAAGATATCTTTTAGCTGAAAATAGCTAATTTTAGTGTCAAGTAAACACATCTGTCACAGAGATCATTTATTACTAGACATGATCAAATTTCAATTTTATTAGAAAAATCCCTCATACAATGACACAAATAGTTTAAAATCATCAAGATTTGACAAACCTTTCTCTTCAGCAACAATTATTGCAGTTTGCTTTTCAGGTTTTGATGACTGTGATGTGACTATTGCCTTTTGACTACAGTCATTTTGACCTAATGACAAAAATAAATAATCTTTCTTTTTAGAAATCAATACTAGTCTTGCTGGACGTTATATTCATTATCATTCATGTACACATTCACACTGACTGTACACCGAATAATTTAAAGCATAATTTAGTGGGAAAAACAAAATTCACTTTTCTTTGGTGAAATACCAATAACAGGTCGAATTTCGGCAATCTTTGGTCTTGAAGAACTCCTAAAATCAAATCACATTATACGTTATAAGTCTTTCATGTTTCTTAATTCTAAGGAATTTTACCAGTACACAAATTGGGAATAATATCATCTTAATCAAAGCCGTTTTTTAAACCTTTCATCTTACATAATATACATATAAACAAAGACTCAATAGAAAGTCATATATAAAATTAAACACGTGCAAATATGTTCATTTCAACGAACCACTTATAGCAACCACTCTGTGCCCAAACAGTAAAGTTGACGTTAGCTGAGCCTGCCGTAGAATAAGGAAGAAGGATGCTTAAAACATTCAAAGCATCAGGTTGTTTTTCACAGAAAAATAAATCAAATAATGAAAGAAAACATTTTAACAAAAGAATCTTCCTAAACCCCGCCATTTTTGGAGTTTAGACGAACGGTATGTTTCGTATTTCTTACATAAAGTCCTTCCTACAATAAATAAGAAGTAAATTTACCCAAAAATGCAAATTATCTTTTTAAGAAAATAAACACAATAATTACAATCCACTATTTTCAAAAGCTTATATCCGCTCTGCATGTGAAATTTATAAGCAATTTTATTGACGGTTGAAGTAGGGCTGTATTAAGAGGAGGGCGTCAAGGCAGTTGCCAGGAGCCCAGCGATTTTGAGGGCCCCGCGCAAAGCGAATAATTTCAAAGGAAATGTTGTCTTTTGTGGCAAGTGCAATGCAAACTTCATATTACAGAGAAAATTTCGAAAGATTGCTTGTGCTTCCATTAGATGTTAGACATAATAAACGTGCAGGTTGTTATTGAGGTGTTAAATATTTGTCATGGATAGCATTAATTATAGTGGAATTTGCGTTAAATTGGCATTTTTGTTTTCACACATCAATGATTGGCATTTAAAAGCTTGGGGGACTAAAATTCCAGCCATTCATGCATTAATTTGTGACTTTTATTTCTTTTTCATTTAAGACACGAAGGTGGTATTAAAAATAATTTGAGAATAAATTTAACATATTGTACAAAATTCAAAAAGTCTTTGTAAATAAACGCTTTTTCTACTTTTAAGACGTCGACCTTTATTATTGATACAGACCAGTGCTGACCAAGGCTAAATTTTTAGAGGAAAGGGGGTCTTGACGAGGCTGAAGCCATGTAAACATAAGTCACGTACGAAATGATCATATAGACGTTCACAACGTTTACTGAATTGACTAACAGATGTAAAATCATATAACTTACAAGTAATGATCACAATTATATTTGAAATAAGCTTACACACATTCCTACTGCACTATATAAGTGTGACAAAACTCGGCAGATTAAAAGCAAAAGGTCTGCAAGAAAATCAGTCAGTTTTTACAGTAACTTCTAATTTATAAATGATTCTCAAAAAGTAACAATACTATTATAAAATTATGTATAGTTGTATACTAAGTACTAAATACTCTTATTCTACAACTGGATTACTAGCATTCTTAAACAGCAATGAAAGTCTCCCAAATCAAGGCAACTAATAGTTAGATAATTCACCACTTACAGTAATTAGCAGCATTGATAAATTGTTTTGTCTTATTTTTCACTATCAATCGGTAAAACGTCGGATTATAATGTTTTACTTTAAAACATTTTAAAAGATTTCTTTCGTCACAGCATTAAATTCAAGCGCACATTTAAGAGTACTCTAACTTTAACATTTTTCTTTTCTTTAGTAAACTTTGCTCAGGTTGTCCCTGATGGAATGTTGGTGTTTTTTCCATCCTATACCTCGCTTGAGGTCGCTGTTCAAAACTGGAAGGTCCTGGATATCGCTTTTCATAAATCATATGATATTATTGATCACATCGTCTCATATACATTTTCTTTATCTATACCTTACAGACCAAAAATATTTGGCCGAGACTTGAGCAACGTAAACCTATATTCATCGAACCTCGAAGGAATGTTGAGTTTGCGGAGGTGATAGATTTTCATTTGTTCAGATCGTCTTCAGATGTGCTATAATATATTAATAATTAGTTCTAATATTGTATTTTCAGACTATGGATGGCTTTTATGAAAAGTGAAAAGCACCAAGTTTAAAGGAGCGATGTTTTGGCTTTATGTAGAGGAAAGGTATGAGAGGCGAATATTGTCCGATACATTGTTTTGGAGCACTATTTTTCTTTATAAATATTATAGTCCACAGTTAATCTTGTAGTTTAGTTGATCGAATATTGAAGACAATGATCAAGTTAATCCTGTAGTTTAGTTGATAGAACATTGAAGACTATGATTATCTTGTTACTATATCTGAGTACATCACAGCAACGTGATGTTATTATCTATGATATTAAAGTATGAAAGAAACTAGAACTGTGTTTTGAAAAGTCATCATAGTCCAATGTTGTTGTTGTAGTTCAGTTGGTAGAACATTGAAGACAATGATTATCTTGTTGCTATACCTGAGTACATCACAACAACGTAATGTTAATATCTATGATATTAAGATATGAAAGAAACTAGAACAAATCACGGATATAGTAGATTTCAAATAAAATATCCCATTAAAGCATTGTTAGTTGAAATATAAATAGCAAGTATGATTCCTTTCTTTACTTCCCCATTGCAAACAAGACTTCTCACCCTCCCCTCCTTACCGATTGTTTTTTGTTGACTGACGTTCCGACAACCTTAGCGGTAGTCATCTTCAGAGTCAAATGAAGATGACTACCGCTAAGGTTGTCGAAACGTCAGTCAACAACAAAAATAGTCTTTCTCAGGACTATACTAACCTGGACGATCTACATTTACAAACATGTAACATTAAACATCTTTTGTTTCTTTTATAAAATAACAGTAATGAGAGACAGTTGAATTAAAAATAGATGTTTTATTAAACCTCTTATTTTATTATACGTCTTTAAAGCTAGTATCTTGTGTAATATCATCGCATTGAATGCTCGTTGCTGTGAATAACTTTGTTTGCAAGTACGTTACTACGCTACCGTTAGTCCGTCACTTTGTGGGGTCGCTTTATAGGTGACTACGAAGTTTCATCTTCCGCTAAACTAGCTCATTGTGACTTAAACTATTTATATTTTTTTCTAAACTTCAAGTGCTATTTTTAGTAGTGTTTTACTAAAACTGGAAATAGTTCCCTCAAAAGCAATTTTTTCCAGCCTTACAGCTGTACTAAAGATGACATCACAAGATGTTGAAATATTCGTTGTCATGTTTATTAAATGAGTATTAACGATTCGGCTTCTACGTGGGCAAAATTGCTTTATTTATGCTGTTGTATGATTTGTATCATCTGTTTTTTGTAGCTGTCAAGATCATACAGAAGAAAAGTTAAAGGAAAAGACTGAGGATGATGCCAGTAAAGGAGATGGCAAAGAATCCGATAGCAATGTGCTGGAAAGTAACGATGAAAGCTCTGTAAAGAAAACATTGTAAAAAATGTTTGTCACGTGGAATATTAAAGTCAGAAAATAATGCTATGGCAAAATATAGAGTTTGAAATTTGAAGCGATATAATCTGTGTAATGCAAAAGTATTTTAGCGTTGGGGTGAGGTGAGGTGGGGAAGGGCAGTCAGGCATTAAATAGTACTTAGTAATATGACCGATTTTCCAATTGGTCAATCAGACCATAGGCGTCTCTAAAAAATCACTTAGCTAGCTAAATAGATTAAACAAATACATTAAACTCTCCTCATTTCATCGTAACAGACCGCGCACCGCAAACTTCTGTTTCAATGTTACGGTCTGTTGCAATGAAATGGGAGAGAGTTATCGTTTAATTATACAATTTAGCTATGTGATTTTTTGGGCCACCTATGATCAGACCATACCGATAAACAACTATTTTCTCTTTGCATTTTTCTTTGCTCTAGGAAGTATATGTATAGGGAGGGTAGCGAGTGGAAAAACAATGGAATTTTTGCCTTGTTGGATGAGGAAAATCCTTATTTTCAAAATCGTTCAACATTCGTGTAACGTCCAAGCGGCCATTTTGTTAGGATACTTTAAAGAACCGATGCTCAACAGAACCTTGAAATCAACATAAATTTTCGCTGTATGTGTTTTTTGAAAAATAAGTCAACCGATAAAAAACATCTCATCCATGTCATGTGCGCAGCAAAAATAGGTAGACACTAGACACTCAAATTGGGGAATGAACTCAACTCTACCATGAAGTGAGATTTAATACGTTATTAATATCAACTGGTACGTATAAATTGTTATTCCTTTATAGTAAATTGTCATCCATTATATAAATTATTCTGAAGGTCGTATACTGATAGAATGTTTCAACAGGATTGAAGGAAATGGGGAAAGACTTATCGACCAGTTTTCTGGTTATTTTACAATTTAATTGTGTTTAAGTATAGCCCTGGAAGGAAACATAGCCCATTGTGTTTAAACATAGCCCTGGAAGGAAATATGATGAAAAAGTTTATCAGTTTCAAAATATCAAATCAGTTTCACAAAAATTCGACACGAAACTTCTACATGCGGTTAGAAAAGATACAAAACTAATCAAACAGTGCACGAAACCTACAAAACACTGAAGGATAATTTTAACAAGAAAGGTTTACAGCCTGATGATAAAAAAATCCATAAAACGGTAAGCACGATTCAGACTTGGAAAGTTGTTTCAACAGTTATTGCTGAAAGTATCATTCCTGTGTGTACGATCCGTTCCATACGTTTATCATAAGTGCACTTGTTCTTTCATGAAACAGTTCAAGCTAAGCCTAGAGAAAACAAGATATCATGGAATATAACATGAGCAACAACATACAAAGAACACATGTTTGAGATCTACAAACTAAAAAAAATATCGTAAAAGAACATAAACTGGTGACAACACAAAAACGAAAAGAGAAAAAGCTCTAGAAAAACGTATGAACGAACGAAACATATTGATTGAAAAAACAAAATGAAATAATAAAGAAAGTTAGAATACTGCTGGATAACTGTGGATGGCTTGCTATGGGTAACTAGGGACACTGTAAAGCAAGAGTAGACTGTTCGACTAATGTCAGTGTACTGTTTGGTTTTGTTACATACATATCATAAACTTAAACTTAAAAAGAAGGGAAATAACATTAAAAAAGAGCACATAATGAAATAACAGACAACAAGATATTTAGCTAAGAAAATATGATTGGTTTTCATTGTAATAATTTGTCACATGAAAGGACGTTAATCATGCTATCTTTCTGCAAGTACGTATTAATTTCTTTTACATATGAAAAGAAGAAAACTACAAAGTAAATGACAGGTTTTTACTTGCTGTTTTTGTAAAAAATTTAATATTTTAATGCAAATACATATGAAAAGAACAGGTATACCTGTTCGTACGTGAACTGGTGTAAACCATAAACTATACCCAATGTTGCGTATACTTTTATTTCGTTTCCATCGTAGAAATGCGCAGAATACTCTTATTTTATGAATCTGACGATGAAATGTTTGACATATAAATCAATGTTACATGCGGTAAATGAATAATGGTTATTGGATTATTTAAAGATATTTTCTAATAAAATATTAAAGAATCTTACGTAGATATAACATGAAATACATAATGAAGAGACATTCACTTGAATAACACCATGCACTAACTACAACCTTGACTCGTTTACAAAAATGACAAGAAAAGTTAGTGAAAATTATAACAAAGTTGCAAAGTTAAACTATCGTGGATACATCGCACAGTTTGTTATTTTTCTAGTTCTACGATCTCTAGACATTGCTACATCTATAGCAGTTCTCGTAAACGCTTGGTCAAATAATGATGACTGGAAAAACATCGATAGTACTTACACAAACAAATCTATTGGAGAGGGAAGAGTGGATTGCTCAATCAACCTAAAAAAGTTTGTCAAGACCTTAAAGATTGGAAAGAACATGGTATCGATGCAAGTATTTCAAACTACAAACTGATTCTCTATTTTACCGTAATATTTGATGTAACGTCTGTCATTATCTTCTTAACACGTCTCGCATTTTGGTCACAGACCTTACGTAAAATATCAAAAGATGAAAAAGAAAAAAATTATACAGACGACAACATCGTTACAAGATTAACAAAAAACATTAGAATAGCTTTACTAACACCTATTGTTCGTGCTGTACCATTATCTTGTTTAAACACAGAACTTCTTGCTTTACGTTCCGGACATAATGGTCTCGTATGTATGGCGTGTATACTTGGAGAAAGATGTTTGTTTAAGCAACAATATGAAGCCATATCATAGCTGCTGCTTGTCCAAATAATTTCAAGTGACGTAAATTTATCAAACAAACGATTTTTATTGTCTCTCAATGAAATACGAAGTTTCAGATCTTGAGGACTTCGTACGTGGAACTAAATATAACAAAGATGGTGATTGTAGATACATGAATAATGAATTCAATAATAGAACATGCAGTAAATAGATAATGCTGCGGTATAGTCAATACATTGCAAACATATTTGTATTTTATTAAATCTATATTTAACACATCCTTAACATGACAATTTTCGTTCTACCATAATTTCTAATTAGCAGCAATTTTAAAAAACACTTGAGAAAAACGACGATTTATTTGAGAGCAAACATGTTTCGACATTATCAGAATGCCAGGTGTAAATGTAAATGTGCATGTACATGTACATGTAGATGTACATGTAGATGTAGATGTGAACGATAAACGCGAGATGGAAGTGGAAGCTGTTACAATGGAGACGAAAATCGACAAGGTTAGAAAAACATATGATTCTGAAATAAAAGAAATTCAGAAGAATCATAAGAAGGAAATTGGTAAGGTAAAAATGGATACTCAATAAATTTTAAGTCTACGTACGCATGGTGTTGATCAAACTAAACAGCGTCGATTACTCATCATTTGATTCCGCCAATTTTTTTGTTCATTTTTTTTTTCATGAAAAAAATAAACAAATAATTATTTCTTCTAGATGCGCAAAGATTTTCAGGAAATAGTGAAGCTAAAAAACTCTTTGAAAGAGGAAAATGTTTGGTTTAAAAGCGAAAAAGAAGAGATGGATGGTAGGATTAAGAAATTACGAGAAAAATTAAAACAAACAAAACATCAACTGGATGAGTGTGTCAAACGAGAAAATGATAAAGAAGTAGAGTTGGAAGTTGCCCATAATAAGATTGAAGTAAGAGTAAGTTTTTTTTGTAACTTTGTGTATATGTGACACGTTTTTTACGGTAAACAATCTATCACGTGTTGTATTCAATCCATCACGTGATGTATTAATCTATCACGGGGTGTATTCAATCTATCATGTGGTGTACTCAAAGATCCATTAAACTTTATCATATTCAAAGTTTTTTTATTGAAATTGTCTGATTCAAAATCGTTTCATTTCAGTCAATGAATCGTGAACGACATTAGACAACTTGAAAATTGAATACAATCAGAACAATATTGAACGGGTCCGGTTTGTTGCTTAACTTTTAACCCATTTTCCATCAAATTTTTACTTCTTTATCTTCTCTTTTATCCCATATCTTCCTAGGCCCGTTCATTACAGGATTTCATTTCACAATTAACAGAACTTCAGGAGCAATTTCAAACATTAGCGCAAGCTCAACATGAGACAAAATTACTTTGCAAGTAAAGTTCTATAAATTTACATATCCAAAAAAGTCACCCTGTTTCATATGGTGGACTTTATATAATCCATGTGGTAAACCGTATTGTCCATTTAGTGAACCATATCATTCATTTAGTCTTAGTGAACCATATTATACATGTATTGAACCGTATAATCTATCAAGTGAGCCGTCTTGTTATCCATGTAGCAAACCGTATTATCCATGTAGTGAACCGTATTATCCATATAGTCAACCGTGTTATCCATATAGTCAACCGTGTTATCCACATAGTCAACCATGTTATCCATGTAGTGAACTATATTATCCATACAGTCAACCGTGTTATCCATGTAGTGAACCATATCCATACTGTCAACCTTGTTATCCATACAGTCAACCGTCTTATCCATGTAGTGATCCGTATTATCCATATAGTCAACCGTATTATCCATGTCGTGAACCATATTATCTATATAGTCAACCGTGTTATCCATGCAGTAAATTGAATTATCCTAATCATAAAACAATTTTCTACATCGTCAAGGCAAAAGGATGAGAAGATCAAAAAAGAAAAACAGCGTCGAATAGAAACTGAATTGATTTGTGAAGTGAGATAGTTGTTATTATAATATTATCTATTTCAAGAAATACAGCATTGATTTCATAGTTTTTTCTTCTATTTTTTAGTTTCTTGTGAATTGTTGCTTTTCATCGATTTTGTTATTCGAATTTTTCGAAATTGAAATCTCGTGAAAAACATCTTAAAGTGAAACACGATGTGACGGAAGTGATGTGCCGATGTGATGTGCTTCATTGTAAATGAAGCACATCAGTTCAACTATATTCAAACTTTCTCAACAGCAAAATTCAAAAGAGACGCGAAAACACGAGATTTAGTATTCAATAGCAATCTATAATAAACGTATGAAAAAAAATTTTCGTTGCCAATGTCCTTTAATATAAATGATTGGAGTGACAGAAACACCAACTTCAAGGCAACGTTGTGATGAAAGAAAAAGAAATGCAAGAAGTATGTATTTTGAATGATTTTGGTTTTTTGAAATGCATAATTGCTTTTCTCTGTTAGGAACTTACGACGAAACATTGAAACATTACATTGGGGCGGTCACCTGTAAATCTGGTCGTGCTATGCAAATTTTTTTGTGTTTAATAATTGTAAAAACATTTTCTTTAAAAATGATTGATGATAGTGCTCTAAACTTTACATACCAGGAGTTCTACTTGCGGGCTTGCTACGCTAATGAAACATTTAAGTCACTAAAGCCTGTTTTCCACTTGCCACGTATTGTAACGTATCGTAGCAAAACGTAACATGGCGCATGCCTACTTATGAATTTGATGGTCAATAGGCGCAAGCACGCATGCGCCATGTTACGTTTTGCTACGATACCTTACGATACGTAGCTAGTGGAAAACAGGCATAAGTCAGGTTTTTTTATTGCCGATTTGATTTTATGACTTACCCATGGATTAGAAATGCTGCCTAGAAACATTCGTCTTTGCGAACTTCTTTGCCTTAGCATTTCATTTAGAACTGTGAAATTTCCTTAGATAGAGATGCATGAATATAATCTGTACGTTTTTTGTAGGCGGATTGTTAAACTTTTCCGTGTCTGTTTTTTAATAAATTTAATGCAAAGTGATCTGAACCCTCTGGATCAACGATATAAAAACGTTACTTTCACTTCATTGAGTGCTTGCTTTGCAAAAAAGTTAGCGAAATTCTGACGAAGAAATTAGTTTGCTGTTGATTTTAAGAAGCGCGATTTCTTTTGTCGCACTCCAAAAGTACGTATGAGAGTTATGGAACATTTAGAGTCCGTTGGCTCTTACTGATTTAAATGCTGAAAAGTCGTCTCGTGCTCTACGTATAAATATTTTTTTTTGTCCTCGTTGACAAAGCTATTTCTTCAGGCTGCAGCATTGAGTAAAAAATTGCAAAATCGTCTGAATGAAAAGACAGAAGTTGAGTTAAGAGGCGAAATCGAGAGGGTGTTTTCGGAATAAAGTAAATGGTTTGAACCGTAATTATAAGTGTTTGAAATGTAAATGGTTTCAACACGACAAAAAAAACAGATCATCGTAAAGCATAATCAAACTCGCCTCGTTTGTTTATTGTATTTTATTGTGTAAAAATTCCCAGTGTAACACGGCGTGTATATCTTTAGAGACATAATATGTTTATGCGTGTATTGCCGTGCAGGTAGCCGCACAAATATTTTATCTCTAATTATAAATTGTGTTCATGATTTAAGAATGCTTACAAAAAAGCAAAAATGGAAAACGATCGTCAGGCAAGCGTTATTTTACAATTTGAAAGTAAGTTACGCGAACATCAAGATAGTATTTGTGAACTGGAGAAGAGACTTCGAGGTAAGGAGACAATACGATGTCAGCTTCGTAATAAAGTACAAGAGTTGAAGGGTAACATTCGCGTCTATTGTCGTGTTCGGCCAAGTCTGCCTTCAGAAACTAGTGTTTCGCTCACTAATATGGAGTTCGCCAATGACACTGATATTATTCTACGCAATAACAGCAAGGTATGTGTTTATTTATGTAGACCTTTCAATCTTTTATTGGGAACATTACGCTGTTCCGTTTATTTATGTTTACGTACGTACATAAACATACCAACGTTGTTTGGTGAATATTGAAGATTGATTCAAATGTTTTGCGAACTTTCCTGTTTAGTCTAGTACTTTGTCTAAGAAAAGCCAACAAGCCAGAATGTCATTTTCATTTGACAAAGCATTTTGTCCAGAAACCACTCAAGTAACGATTTATCAAGAAACAGCACAGCTAGTTCAAAGTGTGCTTGATGGATACAATGTTTGCATCTTTGCGTATGGTCAGACTGGATCAGGTAAAACATTTACAATGGAAAGTGATATCAAAGGCCGTGATACGTGGGGTGTGATACCACGTGCTATGGAACAAGTCTTCTTTAGTGCCAAGGATCTCATGAGTAAAGGTTGGAAGGTAATAAATGTCAATTTTGTACACATAAAGTATATTATTAATGACGAGAGTTGACTTTTCAGAAAGATACATGTAGCTCACGACACATGATTATGTTAAATCGCTCGATTGGGGTTTTTCCAGCCATTTATTCAATCATGATTTTTCCCAAAACTTTATGTAGTACGAGATACAAGCGTCTTTTCTCGAAATATACAGCGAGACAATACGTGATCTCCTTGGAAACCCAGACAGCAAACATGAGATTAAACAAGTAACCACAAACAATGGCAAACAAGCCAACGATGTGTTTGTTACCAACTTGAAAGCCGTTGCCGTTACATCATCCGATCAAGTAAGTAGCATTCTATTTCGTCATCGGCCTAAGTCGTTACGGGGCCGTACGAAAGGCTGTAACACGTATGCTCAAGCAATATTTTTTTGAAGAGGTTTTTCACTTCAGTTTTTTGGAATTTGCCGTTGTGGAGTGAGTTATCTGTGTTGCTTTAAGTTTATATCGTTTTAGTTTATGCTTTCTATGTTTTTTTTAAACTTTGTTTCGTCTTAGTTTTACGTTTTTAGCTTTCTATTATTGAAGCAAACGATGATATCGTTGAATTTCATAATTAGTTTTCTCATACTAACATGCCGGCTACGTACGTCTCCTACGTGAATCGCCATCTTCTATGTAACGCAAAAAATTATGTGTTTGTAAATGTAGATTGTCCAGATTGGTATAATCCTGATATGTTTGTAAATGTTGGTCGTCCAGGTTAATAAACCCGGACCGACTACTAGACCAATAATCTTACAACCCTACATCACACAAAGCCACCACAATCAGAACATTAACAAGACGCGCACAAATCATATGTGATTCATAGGACGCTTTACAATACGATAACAACTATCTCAAACGTGTTTTTGACAAAAACAACTATAACTCTGACTTTATCAAACGCAACACGTACAAAACCAACGAACCCAACGAAACGAACAACTCAGTGACAACAGCAACGATACCTTACATCAAAGGTACGTCTGAGAATATCTCGCGTATCTTACGACCATACAACATACGTGTCGCACATAAACCAATCACAACGTTACGACAAGTGCAAACGAACATAAAGGACAAAGAACAACCCAACGAACGACAAGGTGCAGTTTACAAAATAAACTGCTCCGACTGCCACGCCTCCTATATCGGGGAAACTGGCAGGAACTTAAACATAAGACTTACTGAGCACAAACGAGCTACTAAGAAACAAGACAAAACTAATCACATTGCCGAACATCACCGAATCACAAAGCACAACATTGACTGGGACTCGGCAAAATGCATCACTTACAGTACTGACTATAGACAACGGCTTACATTAGAAAGTTGGTACACCAACTAGAAACAAACCCCCCTGAACAGATCACAGCAATTACTGGCACCTTAAAAACGACTTATTCACAATACAAACAAACGATCAACTAAAAAACATCACACTTCAAACTAATTCACAATGACAATACACAATTGACACCCACACATTACAACTAAAAACGTCACACCTAAATCACACATCACAACTAAAAATAAAATATTTCACTTCACACTAATCCACAATGACAATACACATTTCCTGCACACACAATACAATGACGTAAGAACCAGACAACAAATACGGCTAACCTGACGTTTACTCCTCTTTGACTCTGAAGATGACTACCGCTAAGGTTGTCGAAACGTCAGTCAACAACAACAAAAACAGTCCTTCTCAGGACTTTATTAACCTGGACGATCATCATTTACAAACTTATAGTTGACTCTCGGGCCCCTTCTGATCATCCAAAACACGCATATCAGATGAGAAAACTAAAATTGTTCATAGAAATTACAAGCAAGCCACATGAAATGCTTTTTCGAGTTGATTTATACAAACAGCCAGTGTATCCCCTTAAAAGAATCTGTGACAACTGTTCTTCTATTTGAATAGGTAGAATAGCAAAGTGGAAAAGTTGAATTTTTAGAAAGGCAATATATTTGCTCCAGTAAATCATTTGCCAAAGAACATGCTTTTGAGGGGTTTTTCGGAAAGGCTTCTAATGCAAATTGTACAAAGCTTGTAAAACCGGTTGCTAGTTTTCTCTTCCAAAATTCTCTTCTTTTCCCAATACTGCTATACAAAGTACTATCTTTCAAAAGAACTTAACACCACATATCATGAATATATGAGTACGAGCCTCTTCCCCCAGTTAACAATCTTTCTACACCCATGCTCGTCCAGTTACTCAGCATAAACAGTTACACTCGCTCTTTAACACTGGTTTGCGCATGCATCGTACTGTATCTTGTACAACTTCTATTTGTAACTGTTGACTCGTAGAATTCCTTCTAATTTGCGTTGTAATGTTCTACGTTGCGTACAATACACTGCTGTGTTGCATCTTGTTTGTAATTAATAAAATGCTTTACACTCACGTGTCATTTAAATATTCTAGGGAGCTTTAGCACGACTACGGCTACGTGTTTTTGTTGTCGCAACAATGTTTTTGCGCCAAAATGACGTAAGTCGTACTCGTAGTCTTTGCTAAAGCTCGCTATTATTTTGTTACGTACGTCATTTTTAGGTAAGTGAGCTTGTCATGGCATATTTACTTTTAAGAAACATGATTACAATGAGAAAAAATTTTCATACTCTAGGTGTAAAGTTTACTTCGAAAGGCTTACGAAATCGTTCTGTGGCGGATACAAACTGTAACGATCGATCTTCGAGAATTCACTCTGTCTTTCAACTAAAACTCGTCCGGGAGTAATGAGATTACTGGGGAACTAAGTCAAGGCAGGATTATGCATATTTATGTTTTTGTTTTCAGTTTAAGAATTTTTGAAATAGTTCGTCATATTAGAATATGGATGTTGACTATCGACTTAGTTCTATATGATTAGTCCAGCTTTTATTTTGCTTTATCACGTTTCCACGCGGTAAAACAGGGACTGCGCAGCGAAATCAAATCTGGAGGGGGGTTGGGTAAAGCCTGTTTTCCACTAGGCACGTGTCGTAACCTATCATAGCATGCGCCCTGTTACGTTTTGCTACGATACGTTACGATACGTGGCCATTGGAAAACAGGCTTAAGACATATATTAACTAAATATACTACGTCTTACCTTGCCTTTAATTTAGCTAAAATGTATAAATGTTAGCAAAAACTTTATCTGGGGAAAAAGTGGGGTGGGGGTGGTGTGTGCTTTAGTCCCCACTCTCTTTGGCGCCGTGGCTGTAAATGTCTCCTCGATATTTATTATATATTCAGTAGCAAAAGAATCTGCAAAATTGTTATCTATTGTTTTGCGATGACGATGAGCTAAATTTTTTCAGGGGTATTGAGTTTGGTTGATCTGGCGGGTTCTGAAAGAATAAGTCAATCCGGATCAACAGGATTAAGACTTAAGAAAGCTATACACATAAACTAGAGCCTCACACATTTGGGTATAGTCTTCAACTTCTTGGCTAAGAAGGTAAGCATATACAGATATACTTACCTTATGATGGATGAACTTTAATTCATTGACAGGAGATATGATTTTTGTATTTTATTGATTAACGCTGTGCACAATGCGATTTTTAAACATTACATAAATATAAGAAAAATATACACATCTGCAACAATAGACCGTTCTTTGCAATTCCAACAATAAAAAGTTGCATGTTTAGATTATTTATTCCAGAAAATAAATGTTTGCGTCTGTTTTTAAATTTACTCAATCATACGTAGCTATACTGTGTAGAGAGATGATAGTCAAATAAATTATAATACATTTTAGGCTAGTCACGTGCCTTATAGAACCTCGAAATTAACTCATTTGTTGCAAAACTCTCTTGGTGGTAACAGTAAAAGGTTGGTATTACTGAATATATGTGTATCAGATTTTCATCAATGTACACACGTCATTGTAGATGACATGAAGTATTAACATGTGTTAGTTGTGATAATTAGTGTATGTAAATAATACATTCATATTTCAGTTTGATGTTCGTGAATGTTTCTCCTCGCGAGGACTCTTTCCAGGAAACCCTATGTTCACTTCGATTTGCCACTCAGGTATGATTCGTATATGTCATAGCATGATTTCGTGCAATTCGGGAAAACATGCACGAGTGAGTTTTCAAAGACTATCGATATTGCACGAGTCTGAAGGACGAGTGCCTGTTTTCCCAAATTGCACGAGAAACCATGCTATTACTTATTAATAATATACATGAAAAAATTTCTCAATCCTGCCGGCAAGTTGTAAATATCGACCAACTCGTATTTTTGAATTCCGTGAAATATTACTTTTCACAACACCATAGCTTCCGCACACGCAGCTAGAACAAGGTATCTACTTTTAGCAGTGTTCATGTTTTCATACAGAAATAATTTGAAAACTTATTCAAATAATTCAAGATATTCCCTCATCAAAAGCACCTGGTCCAGACAATATTAATGTAAAGATCTTGAAGACTGTTGCCCCAATTATTTCATCGTCGTTGTCAAAGCTTTTCAATCATTGTATTAATTCGTGTCAATTTCCACAGTTATGGAAAACAGCCAAAGTTTTTCCCCTGTTTAAAAATGGAAATGCCACAGATCCAGATAATTATCGACCTATTTCTACGTTACCGATAATTTCCAAAGTTCTTGAACGTCATGTCTATAATTGTTTGGTTCGCGAATTTCAATCCAACGACATGTTTTATGTTCTGCAATCTGGCTTTAGGAATGGCTATTCTACTGAAACGGCTCTTATTAAAATTGTTGATCAGATATTATCTGATCTTGATAATGACAATCCTAGTGGCGTGCTGTTTGGAGATTTTAAAAAAGCATTTGATATGGTGAATCATAATCTACTTTTGGGTAAACTTAAAGCCTGCGGTCTTAGTACTAATTCAATCAAATGGTTCAACTCATATTTGTCAAACAGGTTTCAATACGTGTCAGTGAATGGCGTCTCCTCAGCTACAACTATTATTGATCGTGGTGTACCACAGGGCTCAGTCTTGGGCCCCCTGTTGTTTCTCATATTTATTAATGATTTGCCTAAATCAATAAAAAACGCCTCAACGAATATTTTTGCTGACGATACCACTCTTATTAAATATAATCATTACTCAGATGTTTCCTCTATTGAACGCATATTACAAGAGGATACAACTAATTTGAACTCGTGGGCAAATAAAAATTTAATGGTGCTTAGCTCTACAAAATCAAAAACTATGCTTATCACTGGAAAAAGAATTGCAAAGAAACTGGTAAATTCATCTACATTATTGTGTGTTCATATTAATGGGAATTTGTTAGAGCAGGTTTCCCACCAGAAGCTTCTGGGAATCATTTTAGATGAAGACCTAAGTTTTTCAATTCATATTGATAAGCTATGTTCCAAATTAGCCAAACGAATTGGCCTTCTTAAAAAGTTTAGATATTATCTACCATTGGATGAACGCATTGCGTTTTATAATGCCACTATTAAATCTGCTATGATGTTTGGTAGCTGCGTTTGGTCAAATACAACAAAAGATAACTTGGATCAAATTACAAAATTACAAAAGACAGCAGCTCGCGTAATTCTAGATGCCTCAACACGCGATAGAAGTATTCCACTCTTTTCCAAATTGGGCTGGATACCTTTTAGTAAGGAAGTGGAAATTAGAAAGGCCATGATTTGTCATAAACGTTTCTATGGTAACTGTCCATCTTATATTATTGATATTCTACCAACAAATGCCAGTCGCCACAATAGAAATACTCGTTATAAAGACTTAACTATTTGTTTACCCAAAACGAAGAGACAAAATGATGGTGGGCGATCTTTTTCTGCTACTGCAAGTCGATTTTGGAACAGTTTACCTCTTACTATGCGTAAACTTTCATCAGCTACACTTTTTAAAAAGAAACTTTATGATAAAGCTAATTCAGATATGCTCATAGAATAATTTATTATTTAGTTTTTTAGTATTTTTAGTCTTGGGTAATTCTGGTTTTTAAATTGTAATTAATCTCGTAGTTTGTTAGTTTGAGGGCCACAAGTTTTTCATATTTGTTTTGTCACGTGTTACCCTCTTTTAATAAAGTTTAATCAATCAATCAATCAATCAATCAAACGGTGAACTGTAAGCTCGTTCGCCAAAGCATGAGTGTATGATCTATGAAGTAGAACATATATTTAGCATTTAATCTATTGTTGTATTTTCTCATGCTCTGTCATTAGGCTGCGACTACAGATATTTTTCATACGTCAATTTCTACGTGAGAAAGTGAATCTCATTTCATTTGGCTATAAACTATATATGTATGTTGCAACTAGCATTCAAGTTATTGTTTTTGGAAATTTAACGTAAATTGTAACAGTGAAATCTGCACAACAATATCATCAGGCATTAATATTTCACTATTGGCTGATTTCTAAAGGACAAAAAATAAGCATCCGCATAAACGTAAACTTAAAAAATATTTAACCCAAAGAAGAACAAATGAAGAATTGAATAAAAATTCCACGATGTCGTTGTTCTTGTAAACATTTTAGTAAGAGAAACTAAAGTCTTTTCGCTCATGTTCATTCCACTGTTGTAAAACATGCATAAACGTTTTAGCACGCTGCCTTACCCTACACTTTTATTCCATCAAAATCGCCATTTTCCATTCATTGATATTCCGTGTGAAAACTTTAAGAAATAACTTACAAGAAATTCCTCTGCAGTACAAAAAGTGTGAAGTTCAAAGTAATTATAAATGTCTTATAATGATAATGATATCAAACAAAAATATTTCCACTCGAAGTTCAGGCACAAAAATAGAAAATTTACTATAATATACATATACAAGGAAGTTTCTTTACGAAAACAATAAAATCCATAAAGACAAAAAATGTTTTCATATTCTTAAAAATTATTTATCAGGATTAATGGCACAATTTCACAGAATACATACGTCAGTTGTTTTGCGGTAATAGTCAATCTGATGAATGTCGCGAGCTAAACCAAAGTCTGCAATTTTCATTACACTATCTTCACCAACTAAAATATTCCTGGCAGCAAGATCGCGATGAATACACTACAAAATTATTGGTGGTGTAAGGATACCACATAAGTATGCGTTAATGAAGAGAATATGCACACCATGATATCGTTCATCTCCACCTTTCCATATACATTCGTCTTCGCACAAGTTGGGATCCAGGACACGTACAGTTGCATTTTCTCCTTCGACGACAGCCCACTGAAAGTGCGGCAGACTATCGCTAAAAGCTTTACAAGTTGCCTTCACGTTGTCACCTTCTTATGCAGTGATGTTCTTCATATGCGTAATTAGAGGCTTTGTTATCAAGACTTCTGAAAAATTGATTTTAGCATGCTTTTTGTAAGCGATTTGTAAAAAAATAGGAAGAAAATTAAAGAAAGAATTGATATATATTAAAGCATTTGACATAGCAATTTTATTGGTGAAAGTCTCTAGATACCGATGTTATATGCTTTGTAAATAAGTCAATTAATATTCGGAAAAGAGTGCAAAAAAACAGGTCCATTTTACTACATAAATTAAGAAACGTGAAAAATGCCTTGATGTTATCTGCAAGATTTAATTTCTATCAGTCACTTAGAAAGTAATTCAACCCAGAAATTTAGCATTCAAATAAACTCATGCGCCTTTATTTTGTATAATGGTCATTAAAGAAAGTGTGCTATCCTGCATGCTGCCCAAAGCACCCTCAAATTTTGCAATTTCAGGCTGTAATTATTCATAGAAGGATTGAGGAGAGTGAATTTCACTAAATTCCATCAACCACAATTCAAAAATCGAAAATGGCGTCTAACGATCAACCAGCAATTTTAAAGATTTGAAAAGCAATTATTCTAGTTTGGGCGCATAGTTTTCTTGGGAATTTTTTTATGGGTGTATGCTAAGAGGAAAAGTACAAAATTGTAAAAATTTTCCATTTCTCAGATGTGTATCACGAAACAAAACAATTTGGTTTCATGGTCACGGCCTAACTGAAAGGAAAAGCATAAAACAAACGTTTTTTGAGTAACTACCTTTTGCTAGTACTGTGTATGTTGTTGAGATATTTCCCACTCTGTTCCATAAAAAACAACGGTAAGATCCGTCGTCTTTTGGATTTACATCGTGAAATATTAATACTTGTGTATCGTTTGCTAGAGGGTTTTTTTCCATCCGGCATCTACGACATAAGTTGACCGTTTTTGTACCATTGCACCTTTGGTGAAGGTCGTCCATTAGCTTCACAGTTCATTGAAAACCGTTTTCCAACAGGAAAGTACTTGTGTTTCTTTTTTATCAAATGCGGAAATAGAAAAACGGGTGCAAAATCTATGAACATTTAGAGAGAGCAATGAATGTCCACAAAAGAGAGGTATGTAGTTATGATAGCCACTCCAGATTCTGAATACTCAATATTATAGGATTGCCCTTTTTGGCACTTACCTTTAGTGATCTTGTCTACACGTGAGTCTGAAAAAAAATAAACATAATAGGAAAACAGGAAAGCACAAACAACAAGTCTTTGCCAGAACTTTGTCAAAAAGAAAACCAGAAAATACAAATCAAAAGAAAGTTGAAGGTATAGCATTGTCGTGATCAAGGATCGAAGGCATTTAAACACTTACCCACGACAACAACGTTTATTATTCTGCTCACTTCTCCCGCCTTGTTTCTTGCCCAGCAAATGTATTCACCCAGCGTCAGCCATGTGATCTTTTTTATTCTCAGATATCTATTCTTCTTGTAACGATATATTTTGCTATTTGTTATGCGTTTCCCTTCTCGTGTGAACCAGTAGTCGTTGTCCTCAGCACTGAGCACGTTACAGAGAATCTTTCCCTTGCGAGACTCGTTTTCAACTTCGACCTTTGTGATGTTCGTTGTGAACGATGGAAGTTTCGTACTATTGGCTAAAATTGTTTTGAAAAAGATCGTCATTTCCACTAATTTCAATAATTCCAATAATAATAAAAAAATTCAGCAATACAGAAGAAAAAACCGTCGTAAAATTAGCTGGATTGCAGAGTTGTGTCGCAAAATTTAGTAATTCATATTAATTTGCTGGTGAATTTATCTGGTATTTTTCTTGGTAATACTTAATGACATTAATTATTCATAAAATATATTATGTTCATGTTGTTTAATATTCGCATAAGTTAAACATCACACGAATGTTTATCACTTACAAATCATTTTCATGTACGGCCCAAACATATCTTCTTCATAGGTCATTTCAGTGTCAGTTTCATTACTGCGATCAAATGAAGCCATATCATAGCTGCTGCTTGTCCAAATAATTTCAAGTGACGTAAATTTATCAAACAAACGATTTTTATTGTCTCTCAATGAAATACGAAGTTTCAGATCACGTGGAACTAAATATAACAAAGATGGTGATTGTAGATACATGAATAATGAATTCAATAATAGAACTTGCAGTAAATAGATAATGCTGCGGTATAGTCAATACATTGCAAACATATTTGTATTTTATTAAATCTATATTTGACACATCCTTAACATGACAATTTTCGTTCTCCTCATTTATGTATACAGAAAAAAATTTTTTCATTAAAAGTTACAAAAACATTTATGTTTCTCTAGAGGTACCAAACAAATGAACAATTACTAATTATACGTAACAAAGTCCTCTTTATTAGGACTCTGACAATCCTGTAAACTGAACGTACGATCCGTGATCTCGGGTAGTTGGACATCTGGTTCAGAGTTGAGGGTGGCAGGTATCATGCAGGCAAATCTCAAAGTGATATTAGAGCTCGCTGGATAGTTATTAGTTTTTGACGGATTATTGCCAATTGCAACCACAATATTTTGTTCCCCGAGCTCCTTAAAAGTCACGTGATAATAATGTAGAAAGCTTTGTTCACCGAACGGATGTTGTGGTATCACGTCAGTTCTTATTGAGATCAGAGCTAACTTCTCAGAGTTCAATGAAGTACAAAATATATTATAATTAGTTACTAAAGTAATACAATGGATGTGATTAACTTTCTCATAATGTGTAGATCTGACATGAAACCATAAATGACGTGGTTACGTACCTTTCTCATAACGTGTTGATCTATCATGAACCCATGGTTGAGGTCCACCTTGTATGATAAAGTTCTTTGCTGAACCAAGGGTGACAACAGCAATGTCAACAGGATCGAGAGCCTAGAAGATAATACATTTATAACGTGACAATAATGGTGTGAGATTTCTCATTTAGGGGATTGAAATTTGACAGTAAAACGAAACAGTAAATAAAATGTTAGAGAAAAGTAGATGAATTTTCCTTACTTTAAGTATTAAGTACGCAGCTACTGTAACAGTTGCTTTAATATTAATATTTTTATATTGATATCCAGCTGTGACAATGACATATCCTTGACGCAAAGCTTTGAGGCACGCTGATGTACAACCAGGAGTAATAATATCATCAAACTCATCCAAAATAAACATTTAAACATTAAAATCATGGCCACAGATTTGCCAGGCGGAAAGCGAATATTCAATATGAACATAATAGCCCAACATAAGACTTTTAAAAAAGCCATCACAATAATAAATAAAAGGTTTTTTTATTAATAACGTTTCGTCTTTAATTTAAGACATCTTCAGATTATATGAGATAAATTATATACATAAGGTTTTAAATACGAGCATATACTACAGGGTGTTAAATTACATTAGGAAGGAGGAAGAGAGAATTGAGAAGTCATTAAAATCGGCAGAGTGAGATGTATTTCTTATATGGAAAGAACTGCTGATGGTTGTGGACATAAGGAAGGTTTCTCTGTTAAAGGAGAGATTCCCAAGTGTTCCGATATTCTGGTGTGTAAATGATGCCAGTGAAAGTGTAGACAGAAGTAAGATAATGCTCCTAAGAAAATCATGTACTTCTGTCTCCGATTCACTGACCTACACTGTCTTCAGATTCGCACTCAAATCACTCGACTCTGCAATGCTGCCTTTCCTCATATCAACGTTCGCTTTGTTTTTCGTTCTTCCAGGCGTCTCTCCTCTTTCTTTCCTTTTAAAGATAGGGTTCCCAAGCTCCTGAGATCTGGTATTGTATACTCATTTAGGTGTCGATGCTGCTCTGCATCGTATGTGGGTCAAACCACGCGTCATTTACACACCAGAATATAGGAACACTTGGGAATCTCTCCATTAACAGAGAAACCTTCCTTATGTCCACCACCATCTGCAGTTCTTTCCATATAAGAAATACATCTCACACTGCTAATTTTAATGACTTCTCAATCTCTCCTCCTCCGACAATTATGACCTTATGATTCATGAAAGCCTTCTTATATCCAAACTTAAACCCTCTCTTAATACCCAAGGCAACTCAATCCCCCTTCACCTTCTTTAATATACCGCCATTCTCCCTTAATTCCGTCATCTAAACTTCCTACTCCCCTCACATGTAATTTAACAACCTGTAATATATGCTTGTATTTAAAACCTTACGTATATAATTTATCTCATATAATCTGAAGATGTCTTAAGTTAAAGACGAAACGTTATTAATGAAAAAACCTTATATTTTATTATTGTGATTGCCTTCTTAAAAATCTTATGTTGGGCTATTATGTTCATATTGAAAATTGAAACATTAGTAATATTGAGACGATCGTTAAAAAGCGTTACGGTACACTGATGTATCTCTAGGAGTTAGAAAATCATCTATTTATCTTAAATAAACGTAAAGTCATTCAAAATGTACGACTCGAAAATTGTGCTATTTAGATTATATTTTCATTGAACATAACTTTATTCACATCACGTTTCACTCTCAAGATAATGTAGTTTGTGTAATGGACGCTTTACAAAAACGTTTTTTCGTCACATTGCATAATGAAAATTTGACAGAGCAGGTATACTTGCTGTTAACCGAAGAGAAGCTTCTTTTATTGTGAGGAGTTAATGATAAAAAAGATTTCCTCATAATTTTGACAAAAAGTTGCCTTGAAACTAAAGGATGTTGGAAACTTTGTATCAACTCATTGTGCAAAATGACGTGGAAAGTTGTGTAAATCGGTTATTAAAAAAACTTTAATATCGCAATATCTACGATATGCATAAACAGTTCTACAAAATACACTGCCATTTTTAAAGTTCTGTTGAACGAAAATATAATTAGAATAGTAAATTTTTGGAGTCATATGCCCTTTAAAAATAACATTAGTATCATCAGTCGCCACGTAAACAACAAACCTGATGTTCCAAGTACTTGAAATATTGAAGGATCATTAACAGATATCGTAAGCTTCATTTTGCGACAATCATCAAAAAACAATAAATCGTCGTTTTCTAAAAAAATTATTCATAAGTTAAATAACTTCAATTAATAATCACGCCTAAACTTTTGTACGTAAAGTTTCAATGTTTAGAAGTATTTAAAAAAGGATAAATTATATCTAACTTTAAACATGTATTATCGAAAGAAAGGATGAACTACGTATAACTGATTCTAAACATTACATGTTTGTTAAATAGTATACGTATCTACAACAAACCTGGTAAAGAAAATGCAGCAGCAAACACAGGAATCTTTAACTTTGTACCAATTTCAACTTCAACTCTTGAGGGGACAAACTTTAAGTTGTCCGGAGGCAATATATAAACCTAAAATACAACAAGTGAATTAAAAAACAACCATTTAAAGTTTTCTTCTTCAAGTTACGCATACACACCTTTGATTGACCATAATGCAATAAATTCTCAGTGTCATGAGCCTTCACAATAGTGAATCCAGAGTCAGCAGTCGTAGTGAGAAGACCTCGAATGTTGACACTTGCAATAATCGTAGCATCAGAAGGCCACGAGTATTGTCCACTCCCCTGTGGCCTAAAAGGTAATGCACAATGTTACATGAAGTATTTATATTGTATACAACGTGATCTACGTAAAATAACTGGTTAAACTTTTGGCAAGCGAAACAAAACAGCAATTTCTTTATGTCAAATCCTCTTCCCTCCCTCCCAACATGCAGTAAAATTAGGTTCATGTACATACTTCAAGTTGGTATTTGTAATGATCCCAACCATTTAGTATCCATTGAAACGCCAAAACAGCAGGCGTCACGGTGACAGGATTATAAATAATAACATCTTGTTTACCACGTACGGGAGTATCGAGGACCGCATTTTCTCCAGTGATAATTGACTATAAAATGGAGTAAGTGAACATTACATAACTTGACAATAATATTGATATGAAAATCATTATTGAGCAGCTGGCATCAACTTCTCCACAATAATGAAACAAACTGTGATATCCTTCACTTTATTAGTATAACGACCTACCGTACAAGGCATTTACGTATGATTTACATATGAGCGTTTAAATCTGATCAGTGAGAAAATAAACTTTGTAATCCATACAAATATCCATTACATAGTAGTACATACGTATGGTAGTCAACTACACAACACAAAACATTCAAATTGTTACCGTAATCTTAGATAGTACAGCACGCAGCACTATTTTCCCACTGGTCAACGTCTTGGTCTCATGATACGATCCATTATCAGATGAATAAGAAACATCGAAATGGGAATTTGGAAATTCAGTTGTGATTTGAATGTTACCACCAACATAAAGTTTATGATTAAGTTTGTCAAAGACGTTCACTGTGACAAAATATTCACGTTTACTTTCTAAGATCCAAACATCGCCAGAAGTGATAGAAAATCCTAAAAAATCATAGAGACGGAATCATCTCAATGTTAACATTACATGAAAACTTTCTTGATTTTGCTTGAGTTTATGTGATAAATATTTACGTGATGAAGCAACAGTAACAACAGCTTAAGCAACGCACGAAAATTGAAGATTTCTTTCATAAGACTATTGATGTGGTTTTCAAATAGTTAGCAAATGTTCAAGTTAATACGAGAGAGTTGTGAGATTTCTATAAACGTTAAGCTGAAAATATCAATGATATTTTACAAATCAAAACTTAAACGTCACAGGTAAATGTGCTTTAACTCTTTCATTCAATGAAATCAATAACAATTTTCCAAATCCTTTTCTAACGCAATTTCTTCGCCCAAGTTTTGAAATTTTAACGTCGTTTCGTGTTTGAAAACAAAATTTGGCGCCAAAAGTTTTGCCTTGCAAACGTCACAACTTGCGCTCAGTGACGTCACACGAACACGCTTCAATAATGAATCAAGCACGTGCAAATCACGACGTCCATAATCATTTTAAACAGTTATGAATTCAAGAATTACCTAGATGAGGTTCATCAACATAAATATAAGCTGTTGGTTGTCTTGTAGATATTTGATCTTTCATGTCTCATCATAACGTTAAAGATTAAACCAAAGTATCCATAAAAGTACCTACGTAATGTACTACAAGTATCTACTGACGTACCATAAGTACATGCTGTCTATTGTATTGTACAGTGAAACAGAAATACGTACATACACAATGATTTTAAGAGAAGCTAATAAAGAACATGCATATATAAATGTTAGCCAGCCTCCCCTCCTCGCGCGACAATTGTCAACCCACCCAGTCCATAGTGTGCACAAAGAATACTTTTATCAACAAGGGTGACTTGTACATACCAAAGAACAAAAACCTACCCCTCAGTCCAGAAGTACACACAAAAAGATACTTTTATCAACGAGGGTAACTTGTGTATAACCAAGAACACGAGCAATAAAATTAGATGATGGTTCATGAAGAACTGCAACAGTTGTATTGCTTAGAACAAACTCAAATTGTGTTGACGGCATTTCGACATCTAATGATAAAATGATGTTTTACAATTTTAATTGTACAATTACTTTTCTTAAATCATTGATATTATTAAAGTAAACGACAGCACGGGAATAAGAAATGTAATTATGTTTACCTATCATAGAGTTTTGTCGAAATCTTTTGACTGTGTATTTGACAGCAGTATTTATCATAATGTAGACATCCCTCGATGGAATTATTAAGTTATCAATCACCAATAACTTTACTTCGTCAGATTGAACATCCTAAAAGACAACATGAACGTAAAAGTACAAGAAACATCAATAAATAATCTTAGAGTTTTCCTTCCAGCAATAAATTCCATTTGCGATATTACATTTTAGTGTGATAAATGGAAAAGTTTCTAATTTTGTCAAATCGTTCTGTTTTATGGTAAAGATTAAATTGAGCGTCGACATTTTTCAATGACTTTGCCCCAAGCCTGGAGCAGCTAATCTTTGTGACGTCACGCACAGGATTCGTTAATACGAGAAATAAGTATATGCCAACTACCTTGGATGACGTCAGAATTAGGCTAGACCCAGACCTCGCGCCACGACGGACAAGGTTCATTAAAAGGCAACTTAAAAGCGTTATAATAAGCCGACGATTTGACCGAAGAATTAAAAATTTTTATTCAAGAACAATAATAAAAATTTTGTTAGTTGGGGCACTTTAATACGTAATAAAACCATGTTTATGAAAAGACGATGTTGAGTTCAAATGTTTTATTTATAATTAAACTGCATCATTTTGATTCCACCCAAACATTGCAACAGTTATGGCAGCTTTTCTCCTATTTTTTCGGAAACAAAGAAACGTTTCTTCGAAGTTTTCTAATTTACTCACGCTCTCAGATTGATATTTTTGCTTTTTTTTTTTATAACAAAGGAAATACGCTTATAAGCTACGTACGAACATCGTTATAATTTTCATCTCCGAAAAACAAAACTCACGTGATTAGTCTTTTCACAAAAATAACATAAAGTTTCTAACAATTTATTTGCAAATTGCAGAGAAGTCGCACTGACAGTACGGATCCAAAGATAATACAATGTAAAAAAAACACAGTCTTTTGACTCCCATTTAATTTTGATTCACGTACGTATTATGAGAAGAACATCCATTGACTTCAATTTACATTTTGAACAAAACATATCACAAGCTTATGGTGTAAATAACCACTTCTTGTCTTACAATCGACGGTTTGCAAGCTGAGCGATTTTCTCTTTAAAATCTAAAGTGTAATGTCCATGGTTATGTAGAAGCACGCCATGCACATATTGGACGTCAAGTTAAGTCTCTCAATGAAACGTTAACACGCGATGAACTAGTGCTTAAATGTCTCGTCCATTTTAGGGAAAATAAGAATTCATTAAACGCTCAAAATACGTAACAAACTATATAACATAGGAATTCTTGAATACGTGTGAATTGTTTGCACATTGGAAAACAACACTGTCTGGCTCGTTGTTAGATTTGTGAATTGATCTACGACGTATGGACTATGTTTCATACGTGCATAAAGCTGTCCAAGAAAGACTTAAGTACTACGAAGTACGATCCTTTACATAACCCACAAAATTTACAATAAACGCAACAATTTACAAATTGCCTAAATCATTTTTAAATGGGACAACTTAAACTGTCTAGTGTAAGTTGTGAATCCATTAACGATAATTTATATATTTAGCAAACCTGGAAGGTTGGATGACTTAATTTTGCTCTGACCAATGCTGTTCCTGTTGTTATGCCTTCAACAATGATACTGCTGCCCCCTTAAACCCTTAAAATAAACAATTTTCATGAGTTAAGTCCAACTTCAAATACAGCAATGTGGTAAACATACAGTTTACCTCGGCTTCTAAAGCATAAATAGCAGCTGAGGTTTCATTAATTGATTCAGAAAATGGGAAAATCCTGAATACAAAGTGATTAAAAATTTTTTAGCATTCAATATACTTATCTAACATGACAATACATTATTGATGCATTTGTACTACGTACCTTAATATGCTGGAGGCATCCATAGATCCAGGAATAGTAATAAGTTGCCAGTCAAAGACAAGGCCATCAATTGAAGAAAATAAATTATCTATATCACCATAAGCGAAGACTTGAAGAACTTCTGGTGATTGTCCCAGTAAAAGTTCACGTGTTGTAGTTTGGATTTGAATACGATTTATTTGTTGACGAATACATCAGCACGAATGACATTGCCAGTTACTGAAAGTAAAAAAAAATCAGATAAAATCATGATCTTTGCTTAAATGTATTGAAGTGAAAGGGAGACACTCTTACAGCTGAATTCGCAGACATATCTTTTTAATACAAGATGTTTGTGCTTGTGTTACAATGAGAAATTACTCTTTCCTCATTAATACACAAACATTTAGACAATGACATATTATATCACATTACAAGATTACAATTGGCATTTGCATTTTCGCTTGAAATTAAGGAGATTACACACACCAAATAAAATATTTAATATATAAGATCTCTTTTTAGCTGAAAATAGCTAATTTTAGTGTCAAGTAAACACATCTGTCCTATAGCAACCACTTATAGCAACCACTCTGTGCCCAAACAGTAAAGTTGACGTTACCTGAGCCTGCCGTAGAATAAGGAAGAAGTATGCTTAAAACATTCAAAGTATCAGGTTGTTTTTCACAGAAAAATAAATCAAATAATGAAAGAAAACATTTTAAGAAAAGAATCTTCCTAAACCCCGCCATTTTTGGAGTTTGGACGAACGGTATGTTTCGTATTTCTTACATAAAGTCCTTCCTACAATAAGAAGTTAAGTTACCCAAAAATGCAAATTATCTTTTTAGTAAGAAAATTAAACACAATAATTACAATCCACTATTTTCAAAAAGCTTATATCCACTCTGCATGTGAAATTTATAAGCAATTTTTATTGACGGTTGAAGTAGGGCTGTATTAAGAGGAGGGCGTCAAGGCAGTTGCCAGGAGCCCAGCGATTTTGAGGGCCCCGCGCAAAGCGAATAATTTCAAAGGAAATGTTGTCTTTTTGTGGCAAGTGCAATACAAACTTCATTTTACAGAGAAAATTTCGAACGCTTGCTTGTGCTTCCATTAGATGTTAGACATAATAAACTTGCAGGTTGTTATTGAGGTGTTAAATATTTGTCATTGATAGCATTAATTATAGTGGAATTTGCGTTAAATTGGCATTTTTGTTTTCACACATCAATGATTGCATTTAAAAGCATGGGGGACTAAAATTCCAGACATTCATGCATTAAATTTGTGACTTTTATTTCTATTTTTTTATTTAAGACACGGAGGTGGTATTAAAAAATAATTTGAGAATAAATTTAACATATTGTACAAAACTCAAAAAAGTCTTTGTAAATAAACGTTTTTTTCTACTTTTTAAGACGTTGACCTTTATTATTGATACAGACCAGTGCTGACCAAGGCTAAATTTTTTAGAGGAAAGGGGGGTCTTGACAAGGCTGAAGCCATGTAAACATAAGTCACGTATGAAATTATCATATAGACGTTCACAACGTTTACTGAATTGACTAACAGATGTAAAATCATATAACTTACAAGTAATGATCACAATTATATTTGAAATAAGCTTACACACATTCCTACTGCACTATGTAAGTGTGACAAAACTCGGCAGATTGAAAGCAAAAGGTCTGCAAAAAAATCACTCAGTTTTTACAGTAAATTCTAATTTATAAATGATTCTCAAAAAGTAACAATACTATTATAAAAATATGTATAGTTGTATACTAATTACTAAATACTCTTATTCTACAACTGGATCACTAGCATTCTTAAACAGCAGTGAACGTCTCCCAAACCAAGGCAACTAATAGTTAAATAATTCACCACTTACAGACATTAGCAGCACTGATAAATTGTTTTGTCTTATTTTTCACTATCAATCGGTGAAACGTCGGATTATGATGTTTTCCCTTAAAACATTTTAAAAGATTTCTTTCGTCACAGCATTAAATTTAAGCTCACATTATTAATGTGAAAATAATAATTTAAAATTTGGTTACCTGCAGCAAGTGGCTCTTATCAAAAAATACCCAGCATAAAGAAATTATGGGGCATGATCATGTGAAACATTAAGAGAAGAAAAGTTATCGATTTATCAAGAATGTAAATCAAATAATTTTGTAGATGTAAATGTTGATGTAAATGATGTAGATGTTAATGTAGATGTAAATTTACATGTAGATGTAAATGTAGATGTAAATGTAGATGCACATGTACATGTAGGTGTACATGTAGATGTACATGTAGATGTACATGTAAACGTTAAACGCGAGATAGAAGTGGAAGCTGTTACAATGGAGACGAAAATCGACAAGGTTAGAAAAACATATGATTCTGAAATAAAGGAAATTCAGAAGCATAATAAGAAGGAAATTGGTAAGGTGAAAATGGATACTCAATAAATTTTAAGTCTACGTACATATGACGTTGATCAAACTAAACAACGTCGATTACTGATCATTTGATTCCGCCAATTTTTTTGTTCACTTTTTTTTCATGAAAAAAATAAACAAATAATTATTTCTTCTAGATGCGCAAAGATTTTCAGGAAATAGTGAAGCTAAAAAACTCTTTGAAAGAGGAACATGTTTGGTTTAAAAGCGAATAAGAAGAGATGGAAGGTAGGATTAAGAAATTACGAGAAAAATTAAAACAAACAAAACATCAAATCGATGATTATGTCAAATGAGAAAAGGATAAAGAAGTAGAGTTGGAAGTTGCCCATAATAAGATTGAAGTAAGAGTAAGTTTTTTTGTAACTTTGTGTATATGTGACACGTTTTTACGGTAAATAATCTATCACGTGTTGTATTCAATCTATCATGTGGTGTACTCAAAGATCCATTAAACTTTATCTTATTCAAAGTTTTTTTATTGAAATTGTCTGATTCAAAATCGTTTCATTTCAGTCAATGAATCGTGAACTTACGACATTGGAGAACTTGAAAATTGAATACAATCAGAACAATATTGAACAGTTCCGGTTTGTTGCTTAATTTTTAACCCATTTTCCATCAAATTTTTACTTCTTTATCTTCTCTTTTATCCCATATCTTTCTAGGCCCGTTCATTACAGGATTTCATTTCACAACGTTGTTTGGTGAATATTGAAGATTGATTCAAATGTTTTGCGAACTTTCCTGTTTAGTCTAGTACTTTGTCTAAGAAAAACCAACAAGTCAGAAGGTCATTTTCATTTGACAAACATTTTTGTCCAGAAACCACTCAAGTAACAATTTATCAAGAAACAGCACAGCTAGTTCAAAGTGAGCTTGATAGATACAATGTTTTCATCTTTGCGCATGGTCAGACTGGATCAGGTAAACATTTACAATGGAAGGTGATATCAACGGCCGTGATACGTGGGATGTGATACCACGTGCTATGGAACAAGTCTTCTTTAGTGCCGAGGATCTCATGAGAAAAGGTTGGAAGGTAATAAATGTCCATTTTGTACACATAAAGTATCTTATTTATGACGACAGTTGACATTCCAGAAAGATACATGTAGCTCACGACACATGATTATGTTAAATCGCTCGATTGGGGTTTTTCCAGCCATTTATTCCATCATGATTTTTCCCAAAACTTTATGTAGTACGAGATACAAGCGTCTTTTCTCGAAATATACAACGAGACAATACGTGATCTCCTTGGAAACCCAGACAGCAAACATGAGATTAAACAAGTAACCACAAACAATGGCAAACAAGCCAACGATGTGTTTGTCACAAACTTGAAACCGTTGCCGTTACATCATCCGATCAAGTAAGTAGCATTCTATTTCGTCATCGGCCTAAGTCGTTACGGGGCCGTACGAAAGGCTGTAACACCTGTGCGCAAGCAAGATTTTTTTTGAAGAGGTTTTTCACTTCAGTTTTTTGGAATTTGCGGTTGTGGAGTGAGTTATCTGTGTTGCTTTAAGTTTATATCGTTTTAGTTTATGGTTTCTATGTTTTTTTTTAAACTTTGTTTCGCCTTAGTTTTACGTTTTTAGCTCTCTATTATTGAAGCAAACGATGATATCGTTGAATTTCGTAATTAGTTTTCTCATACTAACATGCCGGCTACGTACGTCTCCTACGTGAATCGCCATCTTCTATGTAACGCAAAAAATTATGTGTTTGTAAATGTAGATTGTCCAGATTGGTATAATCCTGATATGTTTGTAAATGTTGATCGTCCAGGTTAATAAACCCGGACCGACTACTAGACCAATAATCTTACAACCCTACATCACACAAAGCCACCACAATCAGAACATTAACAAGACGTGCACAAATCATATGTGATTCACAGGACGCTTTACAATACGAAAACAACTATCTCAAACGTGTTTTCGACAAAAACAACTATAACTCTGACTTTATCAAACGCAACACGTACAAACCCAACGAACCCAACGAAACGAACAACTCAGTGACAACAGCAACGATACCTTACATCAAAGGTACGTCTGAGAATATCTCGCGTATCTTACGACCATACAACATACGTGTCGCACATAAACCAATCACAACGTTACGACAAGTACTAACGAACATAAAGGACGAAGAACAACCCAACGAACGACAAGGTGCAGTTTACAAAATAAACTGCTCCGACTGCCACGCCTCCTATATCGGGGAAACTGGCAGGAACTTAAACATAAGACTTACTGAGTACAAACGAGCTACTAAGAAACAAGACAAAACTAATCACATTGCCGAACATCACCGAATCACAAAGCACAACATTGACTGGGACTCGGCAAAATGCATCACTTACAGTACTGACTATAGACAACGGCTTACATTAGAAAGTTGGTACACCAACTTGGAACAAACCCCCCTGAACAGATCACAGCAATTGCTGGCACCTTACAAACGACTTATTCACAATACAAACAAACGATCAACTAAAAAATATCACACTTCAAACTAATTCACAATGACAATACACAATTGACACCCACACATTACAACTAAAAACGTCACACCTAAATCACACATCACAACTAAAAATAAAATATTTCACGTAACTCTAATCCACAATGACAATACACATTTCCTGCACACACAATACAATGAAGTAAGAACCAGACAACAAATACGGCTAACCTGACGTTTACTCCTCTTTTGACTCTGAAGATGACTACCGCTAAGGTTGTCGAAACGTCAGTCAACAACAACAAAAACAGTCCTTCTCAGGACTTTATTAACCTGGACGATCATCATTTACAAACTTATAGTTGACTCTCGGGCCCTTTCTGATCATCCAAAACACGCATATCAGATGAGAAAACTAAAATTGTTCATAGAAATTACAAGCAAGCCACATGAAATGCTTTTTCGAGTTGATTCATACAAACAGCCAGTGTATCACCTTAAAAGAATCTGTGACAACTGTTCTTCTATTTGAATAGGTAGAATAGCAAAGTGGAAAAGTTGAATTTTTAGAAAGGCAATATATTTGCTCCAGTAAATCATTTGCCAAAGAACATGCTTTTGAGGGGTTTTTCGGAAAGGCTTCAAATGCAAATTGTACAAAGCTTGTAAAACCGGTTGCTAATTTTCTCTTCCAAAATTCTCTTCTTTTCCCAATACTGCTATACAAAGTACTATCTTTCAAAAGAACTTAACACTACATATCATGAATATATGAGTACGAGCCTCTTCCCCCAGTTAACAATCTTTCTACGCCCATGCTCGTCCAGTTACTCAGCATAAACCGTTACACTCGCTCTTTAACACTGGTTTGCCCATGCATCGTACTGTATCTTGTACAACTTCCATTTGTAACTGTTGACTCGTAGAATTCTTTCTAATTTGCGTTATAATGTTCTACGTTGCGTACAATACACTGCTGTGTTGCATCTTGTTTGTAATTAATAAAATTCTTTACATTCACTTGTCATCTAAATATACTAGGGAGCTTTAGCACGACTACGGCTACGTGTTTTTGTTGTCGCAACAATGTTTTTGCGCCAAAATGACGTAAGTCGTACTCGTAGTCTTTGCTAAAGCTCCCTATTATTTTGTAACGTACGTCATTTTTAGGTAAGTGAGCTTGTCATGGCATATTTACTCTTTAAGAAACATGATTACAATGAGTGTGGTCTCACTCACGTTTTGCTTTTGTTTATTGTTATTTTTTATCTATATTGTAAAATTTTCATACTCTAGGTGTCCAGTTTACTTCGAAAGGCTTACGAAAATCGTTCTGTGGCCGATACAAACTGTAACGATCGCTCGTCGAGAAGTCACTCTGTCTTTCAACTAAAACTCCTCGGGAGTAATGAGATTACTGGGGAACTAAGTCAAGGCAGGATTATGCATATTTATGTTTTTGTTTTCAGTTTAAGAATTTTTGAAATAGTTCGTCATATTAGAATATGGATGTTGACTATCGACTTAGTTCTATATGATTAGTCCAGCTTTTATTTTGCTTTAACACGTTTCCACGCGGTGAAACAGGGACTGCGCAACGAAATCAAATCTGGAGGGGGGTTGGGTAAAGCCTGTTTTCCACTAGGCACGTGTCGTAACCTATCATAGCATGCGCCCTGTTACGTTTTGCTACGATACGTAGCTATTGGAAAACAGGCTTAAGACATATATTAACTAAATATACTACGTCTTACCTTGCCTTTAATTTAGCTAAAATGTATAAATGTTAGCAAAAACTTTATCTGGGGAAAAGGGGGGGGGGTGGTGTGTGCTCTAGTCCCCACTCTCTTTGGCGCCGTGGCTGTAAATGTCTCCTCGATATTTATTATATATTCAGTAGCAAAAGAATCTGCAAAATTGTTATCTATTGTTTTGCGATGACGATGAGCTAAATTTTTTCAGGGGTATTGAGTTTGGTTGATCTGGCGGGTTCTGAAAGAATAAGTCAATCCGGATCAACAGGATTAAGACTTAAGAAAGCTATACACATAAACTAGAGCCTCACACATTTGGGTATAGTCTTCAACTTCTTGGCTAAGAAGGTAAGCATATACTTACCTTATGATGGATGAACTTTAATTCATTGACAGGAGATATGATTTTTGTATTTTATTGATTAACGCTGTGCACAATGCGATTTTTAAACATTACATAAATATAAGAAAAATATACACATCTGCAACAATAGACCGTTTTTAAATTTACTCAATCATACGTAGCTATACTGTGTAGAGAGATGATAGTCAAATAAATTATATTACATTTTAGGCTAGTCACGTGCCTTATAGAACCTCGAAATTAACTCATTTGTTGCAAAACTCTCTTGGTGGTAACAGTAAAAGGTTGGTATTACTGAATATATGTGTATCAGATTTTCATCAATGTACACACGTCATTGTAGATGACATGAAGTATTAACATGTGTTAGTTGTGATAATTAGTGTATGTAAATAATACATTCATATTTCAGTTTGATGTTCGTGAATGTTTCTCCTCGCGAGGACTCTTTCCAGGAAACCCTATGTTCACTTCGATTTGCCACTCAGGTATGATTCGTATATGTCATAGCATGATTTCGAGTGCAATTCGGGGAAAACATGCACGAGTGAGTTTTTCAAAGACTATCGAAATTGCACGAGTCTGAAGGACGAGTGCCTGTTTTTCCCAAATTGCACGAGAGACCATGCTATTACTTATTAATAATATACATGAAAAAATTTCTCAATCCTGCCGGCAATGTATATTATATTATTAATCAACATATTAATTATATTGATTATATTAATAAATTCATATTTTAATTATTATAATTATATTATAATAATTAATATTATAATAAATAATTATAATAATATTATATTCATATTAATATTAATATTATATATAATATAATATTAATATTAATATATATACGTTCACTTTCAAGTCTCACCACCGGTTCACTTTCAAGTCTCGCCAGTTCTTCCTCCAGTAGCTTGTTTTCGTGACTCAGCTCTTCGTTTTCTGGAATATGAAAATCATAAAATTGTAAATTACAAAGTGACGATGCACATAATTTTTCAATAATACACATTTACCAGCAATAAGTGGAGCATTCTTGTTTCCTACATTAATAGAAACAGATACATGCATAAATCTTGTAGGTCACTACCAAAGGTTACAGGAATTGATGCAATGACAACTTCACTCACTCAGTTCTTCATATAGTGCTTCTGTGTAATCATCCAGATTATCTAAGTCTTGACCGTAAATAAATGCTTCGTACGCTTTCTCAAGGTAATCAAAATACAACTGCGGTATCAAGACAAAGGTGTACATACTGAGACATTAACAGTGGCAGAAACATCTGCTGAATACAGAGATGGATCTGGAATGATTTAGTAGTGGTTGCTTTGGTTTAGATTAGATTTTCTGAAGATACTTTGCAGGTTTTGCCCTATCATGTCAGACATTTACATTTCGCTTAATTGTTTGGTATATTAATACAATTCATTGGAAAATCAAGCATAAACATCCCATATATCTATGACTGTCACAGCCATATTAAATAAGGTACATTTGAAACACATGTTATCACATGTTATGGCATTCAGACTGCAAAGACATTTTGATAGAGATAAGAACTTACCTTGTCCTCATCATTCATGGGAAACAGACATTCGTCGATGGTGTCATTAACATTTTGAGCCACTTGAAAAAAAAAGAAGAAAAGGAAATCACGCTTTAAAATGTTTGGGCAAACTCATCAATCTTCAATTTCAGTTTGTACAAAATTCAACCTTGACAAGTTTCATAAGCCAGTGAAGTGCACCAAGGAGCACTGGCCATGGAGCACTTGGTTACCCCTTCCCTATTCATAAAACATCCACCAAACTGGATGTTTATGAATGGTGAAGGGGTAAGCAAGACTCTTGAAGATTTTCGGTACTTCCTCTTCTGGTTTTTCTTTTAGTTTTTTATATGTGTCCGTTGGACTGATATGGCTATAAAGGAACAGTAAAATACAACTGCAAAGTAAATTGCAAAGTTCATAGAGATTTCAGGCTCGGTAGGTCACAAACATTGTGTGAATTATGTTATACATTGATTACTAGAATGCAAATTGGAATATTTGTCATATGATAGCAATATGATGTTTTATATCAATGCTGCATCATATTAATGCTGTATTTGTTTCGATTGGATGCCCAGAAGCTGCATATAAATACTAGTATCAATTTGATTGTGAGACAGGATGTATGTTTTCCAGAAAAATTTGAATATATTTTCTCAACTAATACACACACTGGTCACCAACGTGAATTGATTCAACAGAGATCAACATACTAACGGAAAATACTTTCAGGAACTCTTTGCTCGTTGGAATCGTCATTTTCTTCATGGAGATTGGATGCTGGTAATCGTTGACCGAAAGAAACTGAACAGACAAAAACAATTCAAAAAACTACTTTTACCATAATGCCGACATTTTAGCAATTAATCAACAATATAATTAATATGTACGATCCTGGATGCAAGAGGAAGTCTGAAAGGATGTACTGTATGTAGGAATAGAGGGTAAAAGAACAAAATCACTCCAAAATAGTTTATCGTAAACAACATACCATTTGCCTGATCTATTCGAACATTTTCGCGACGAGTTTGACCAGGATCTGAATAAGTTCTTAAATAACAAATCAATCCTAACTTATTACAAAAAATCCACAGTATGTAACTGCATATGCAGTTTAATTTGTTTCGATTGGATGCCCAGAAGCTGCATATAAATACTAGTATCAATTTGATTGTGAGACAGGATGTATGTTTTTCCAGAAAAAATTTGAATATATTTTCTCAACTAATACACACACTGGTCACCAACGTGAAATGATTCAACAGAGATCAACATACTAACGGAAAATACTTTCAGGAACTCTTTGCTCGTTGGAATCGTCATTTTCTTCATGGATATTGGATGCTGGTAATCGTTGACCGAAAGAAACTGAACAGACAAAAACAATTCAAAAAACTACTTTTACCATAATGCCGACATTTTAGCAAATACCTGCAATATGTCTTGTATTTCTTGATGCTGATAAGCTGAAAGATTAATGGCAATACAAGTAACTTAACTGATGAAAATTGCTGTTTGTTAAATTGAAGATAAAGCATAATCTCACATTTATCACTAAGCGGTCTGGAGTCTTTTATCTGCATGTACGATTCACGTCCATATTGACTTGATTTTCTGCTAAAATTCAAATGAAAAAAGCACACATAACTCCCACAGTATTCACAAGTAGAAGTTCCTTTAGCACCAAGAGATAGTAAGCCAACAAAACAAATAGTTATGTTAACAACGTACTATACTGCTAATATACGTTATGGTACAAACATTTTAAATCCCATAAAGCAAACCTGCTAGCTCCAAAAGATGTTTTCGGACGCGATATGCCTGACAACCTTGCACCAGTATTAGAAAGACGATCGCCCTGAGTAATCGTGGGTTTGGTTTTGTAAGTGTCGCCGTATAAAGTCGCTCATTGTGGATTCATTTATTATTCATTTAGATAGCCATGAAGATTAAGAAATAAATGGCTATCTTAATCTTCATGGCTATCTTAATCTTCATGGCTATCTTCTACAATCCTGTCGATTTCTTCATTGGAAAGAACGCAGGAAACCTCGGGAATAGCACTCCTCATTTTCACAGACCATTCCTTCGTGTTCTTTTGAACTTCTTTAACACGATTCTATGCGAGGAAAGCAAGCTCTTTTACGATTTGGCATTTCAATAAAAACCACGAGTTTTTTTTAATTCATTACAACACAACAAAAATACAACGCATGCGTCGATTGGTTTTCTTAAGTTTCATTAGGAGCTTCAGCAAAGAGTACGAATTACGTCATTTTGGCGCGAAAACATTGTGACATCAACAACTCGTAGCCGTCATCAATCTGAGTACGATATCTATGATGTCTTTTAAAGAAACGAAAGTAGGTATATTTATTTATTGTGCAAGAACTTAGTTTACAATACTTTTTGACCTTCCAAGCTTTATTTCAGTATCTTTTATGAACGCAGGTTTACAATAAAACGAAAATACGACCTGCAAAACTTCCATGTATCTGGGACGCAAAGTGAATTATAAAAAGACAATAAAGTAATGCAAATATACAATCTATAAAAGGTAGAATAATGAAGATTTTTCTCTAAACAGTCCTATACCCACGCTAAATCAGTATTACGAATTCATCAATATTATTATTAACAAATAGAGCCGTAGCTGCTTCTCAAAATGCGGTGTTTTTCACAGGAAAAAGCTCGTTCTGTTGTTTACGGCTAAAACAACCATTTGACGACGCGACAACGACGACGAACTTCCTCGTGCCATTCCCTTACACGGTCAAACTTCGTACACGTAGTCGTACTCTTGCTAAAGCTCGCTATTAAGTTGAAGATTTTAAGTTTCAGTTGAGCAGATTAAGTTTTCATTAGTCTGTGCAAACCAATCTGTGATCAATCAATTAAATCAATTAAAGAGAATGTTGCAAATCGATCATGAATACATTAATGAGGGGAGGGGGGGGGTGTGGGGTTAAGACATTTCCTTGAAATTTTGTTTGGCATTATTGTTATTTTATAAAAGAAAAGAATTTTTCCGTGTTTACACAGGTTTATGCAAACCACAGAGACGTTTGTAAAAACTCTCGAGCAGGCTCAAACACGGCAAATATCTTTTATGATAAATAGAGGTGAAAAAACATTACCTCTATTATAGTCTTGTGTTTCAGAACACGCTCACACCCATTACGTAAAATGATTTTAAAGATTCTTCTTCACGCTTCAACTCTACTTCTGTTGATTTTAATCTTTACATAATTGAGGTAACATAAAAAATGAAAATATCACGATTATTTGAAGTAAAATTCATGATGAAATCCCGTAACAGTCAAAATGAAACATGCTCATAATTACTTTCTCCTCAAAGTACCTTTCTTTGGCATCCTCGAGTTTCTTTCGTTTTCCCGACATTTCAGTTTGATTATCCAATCTCAATCGATCTATCAGATTACGCTGATCTTCAATTCCGTCGGACAAAATTTTTAATTCTTCGTCGTATTGCTGAGAAGAATCAATGATCAACATTCACGTAGAGATAAAGTTTAGAAAGTTTCGATGCACGATAAACGAGAAGTAGCCAGAAGGTGGTTTTCAGCTGAGCTCGGGATCAACAAAGCAAGACTTTTACGATCTTTCTCGTTGTAATTAAACATTACAACGAGAAAGGTCGTAAAAGTCTTGCTTTGCAAGCACTTTCTAAAAATTCCAACGAGAGAACGAAAACCTTCTTGATTCATACGATAAAAGCCTGCAATACAGTAAAAGATAAGAATATTGATCAACTGTGCAAAACCTCCAACTGCTCTTTCTCTCTTGATGTTGCTGTGTACTCCAGATCTAAGATATCAAACTTCGGTCAGTCGATATATTTTGTCGGAAGAAAATAAGTACTATACCCTACCCTTAGCCTTCGCATAATTTACAAATGGACTTATACATGGACGCTAATATAGCGGGGGAGGGGGTGAGGCAGAAGTATTGCATGGACTATATTATACGTACGTACGTACTGAAGTGATCTATAAACATTACCCAAGTAAATGGGCTTATCTAAGGGTCAGCGTATAAGCGGTAGGGTTTTTCTGTAAAAGTGAGTTGAGTTTCACGATTGGGGTGACCTAACTGGACATACTCAGGATAGGGCTTGTAAATTGGAGGGGTAGTTCACCCTACGCAAGTGTAAGAGGATGCCTCAAGACACCACACTGCACTTACTGAGATCATTCAATTCTTCTTCGTTCTGAATTTTTCTTTCCTCAAGTTTGAGACGATGCTTCTCGAGATCAGTGATGTAGGTGTCGAATTTAGTCCTAAGAATCGACAACATCCCCTGTACATGTTTCCACAAATTAATACAACGTAGATGGTGGAAGCAAGATCACGGTAAATCTTCTCTTACTTGTCGAGCTCTAGTGTTCTCTTTTGTTCCACTAATGCTTCAAGCTTTGACTAGGTTAAGTATGAATATGTTAAGACTGTTAGCTACACATCTATCAACTGTGAAAAGATGGAGATAAAACGGAGGTAAAAAGGGGGAGGGTAATTTCAAAGAAAATATGAAATACAAAAGTATGTATTTATAAAAGTGGAAGCGACCCACCCCCCACCCCCCATACCAAAAAGGATGCATGACAAATTTCAAACACGTAGCTCACTTTAACAAGATGCACCTTTAAAGGGATGAACGTGTATGGGAACATTTGTGGAAAATCCTTTAAATTAATTTTGCACAAATGAAGCTCCGTGCAAGAAAAATCACAGTACGAGTTTTGGCCAAATAATCTGAATGAAAATCGGAAAACCGAGCCATTCCTAGGATCGAGCCAAATTACGTCATAAATTATGTCACAGTAATTTTTCACAGTGATGGAGCTTCACCAGTGGCCAAAGTTTTGGCTCTGAACAATTTATATGAGCGATTTTCCAAAATGTTCACACATGTACGTAAAAGTACCCAACCGTTTGCGATTATTTTGCTCAAACTCACATTTAGAAATAAGCAATTTGAAGTTCTCAAAATTTCACGACACAATATCTTTCCTACCGGTTCACTTTCAAGTCTCGCCAGTTCTTCCTCCAGTAGCTTGTTTTCGTGACTCAGCTCTTCGTTTTCTGGAATATGAAAATCGTAAAATTGTACATTACAAAGTGACGATGCACATAATTTTTCAACAATGCACATTTACCAGCAATAAGTGGAGCATTCTTGCTTCCTACATTAATAGAAACAGATACATGCATAAATCTTGTAGGTCACTACCAAAGGTTACAGGAATTGTTGCAATGACAACTTCACTCACTCAGTTCTTCGTACAGTGCTTCTGTGTACTCATCCAGATTATCTAAGTCTTGACCGTAAATAAACGCTTCGTACGCTTTCTCAAGGTAATCAAAATACAACTGCGGTAACAAGACAAAGGTGTACATAGTGAGACATTAACAGTGGCAGAAACATCTGCTGAATACAGAGATGGATCTGGAATGATTTAGTAGTGGTTGCTTTGGTTTAGATTAGATTTTCTGAAGATACTTTGCAGGTTTTGCCCTATCATGTCAGACATTTACATTTCGCTTAATTGTTTGGTATATTAATACAATTCATTGGAAAATCAAGCATAAACATCCCATATATCTATGACTGTCACAGCCATATTAAACTAGGTACATTTGAAACACATGTTATCACATGTTATGGCATTCAGACTGCAAAGACATTTTGATAGAGATAAGAACTTACCTTGTCCTCATCAAACAAACAAACAAACAACATTTATATACCGGCCAGTATTAATCCCCGCCAGGGGGGTTGACCGGCCATGAATTTTTCCACGCCACACATCTCTATCCCTCGCCATATCTCTCGTTATACCCATCGCCTTCATATCACTGTTCACAGCATCCATCCATCTCTTTCTCGGTCTACCTCGTTTGCGGACTCCATCAACATTCATATGCAACGTTCTACGAATTTCAGCACTTTCTTCCCTCCTTTCCACATGCCCAAACCACCTCAAACGCTGGCGTCTTACCCAATTCTCGATACACTCAACACCAACTCTTTCTCTAATCTTTTCACTTCGAATCCTATCCATCAACGTTACACCACACATCATCCTAAGCATTCTCCTTTCCTTCGACGCCAATCTTCTCAGGTCCTCTGCTTTCGCTGCTTATCCCAAAACATCAATTCTGCCTCGACAATTCTCCACCACGCTGCTTGAACTCTGTTCCTCACCGCTTGCTCGCACCCTCCACCATCATTTAACACATCGCCCAGATATTTAAACTCCGATACACCTTCCAAACTCACGTCACCCAGTTCAAACCGTTCAATCGCGACTCGCCCACCACGTCGACACGTCCCGCACTCAAAATCAGTTACTCTTGTCAATGCACCACGGACACCTGAACATCTTCCATGAACCCACTTACCGCATTTCCCACACATTATCGAATTCACTCCAACTCTTTTCCCACACACACCACATGGCCATTTATCACTGTCCTTCACCTCCACCTGCCTCGAGCATCTCATGCCCTTCGTCTTTGCCTCATTCACTTTCAGTCCCTTGACTTCTATTGCCGTTTTCCATTCTCGGTACCATTCCAGAACTTTCTGCTTCGACTCCGCCACCAAGACAATGTAATCTGCATACAACAAACACCAGCATCCTTCTTTTCTTCTCACTTCCTCTGTCAGTACATCCATCACACAAGCAAACAGTAACGGCGACAAGACTGAACCTTGATGAACACCAACTTTTACCTCAAAAACACCAGATCTAGCACCTTCCTCCGTAACCACCGCCTCTACACCTTCATAAGTCTCCATAACTGCCCGAACCATATTCTCTGTCACACCTTTCTTACGCAGCGCGTACTCGATCACCTTTCTCGGAACTTTATCAAACGCCTTCTCCAAATCTACAAACACCATATACAATTCTCTGTCCTTCTCCAAAATTTCTCCTGCAGCTGCCTCACAAAACACGCATCCGTCGTTCCTCCCCGGTATGAATCCATACTGCTCTTCCCCCATCCGAACAACTTCCCTCAACCTTCTTTCAAACACTCTCTCTACTATCTTCAACGCATGCTCCATCAGCTTAATAGTCCTGTAATTCCCACATACCGTCGCTGCTCCTTTTCCTTTGTACAGCGGGACCACTAGACTCTTTCTCCATGTACTCGGCATCTTTGAGCCCCTCAAAACCTCGTTCGCTACATTACACAACTCTCTCACGCATAGTTCATTGTCCAACATTTCGCTACCCACTTCACTCGGTCCCGTCGCCTTTCCTTTCTTCATCTTGCGCAGAGCCGCCGCCACCTCATCAACAGTCACTATTTCCCACGGCCCAAAAACTTCATCCACTTCAACTTCTCCATTCCACTCATTCTCTACATTCATCAAACGGTCACAGTACGCCCTCCACACTTCTAACCTGTCTTCCAATAACACCTTCAACTCCCCATCGTGGTTCTGCACGCCGGGAGCACCCAAAATATCGTTCCTCTCCTTCTTGCTCCTTCTAGCAGTTCTAAACAACGCTTTCCTTCCATTCTCCTGCATTTTTACGAGAAGCTCTTTCTGATGTCTTTCTTTCGCTTTAGCCACCTCCTTTCGCGCCTTTTTCTTGAATCGGATGTAATCGATCCTATCTGCTTCAGTCCGCGACTTTCTCCACCTTTTAAATGCCAACTTCTTCGCGCCAATCACTTCGCTGACTCGTTGATCCCACCACCATGCCTGTTCTTCTACTACACCGCCTTTACTTCTACAACATGCCTTTAAAACACCCTTCTCCAAGCACGTCCATCGCTCCTCCACCGTCTCACCCTCAACATTCAATGTCGCAATTTCGTCACGGAAACACTGCTTCCCTTCATTTGATCGTAACTTCCATAGCTTAAGCCTGCCTTTACCCTCAACCTTTCTCCTTTTCACCTTCCTGATTCTCCAGTCCATGACCAGCAGCTTGTGCTGGGTCACACATTCTTCTCCTGCAATCACTTTTGCATCCTTCACGTTTTTCCTCTCTTCTTCATTCACCAGTATATAATCCACCACCGTCCTACTGTCACCAGATTCATATGTCACAAGCTTGCTTTCTTCCTTTATAAACCACGTATTCACTACCACCATCCCACAACTCGCTGCTAACTCCAATATCGCCTCGCCTTCAGCATTCATATCACCAACTCCAAAACCTCCATGCGCACAGTATCCTTTTCTTACGCTTCCCACATGACCGTTCCAATCACCAAGCATCACACATCGCCCTCTAATAACTTTTCCTTCTCCTCCGCACTTCGTCCAACCTGCGGAGCATACACCACAACGAAACTCACAACTTCGGCCTCAATAACTACATCAACTCTCAGGACTCTGTCCGAAACTCTCTTCACTGCTACAACTGACTTCGCCCAATCCTCTCTTATCGCAAAGCCAACACCATTCGTGCCACTTCTGTTTCCCTTCCAAAACCACTTAAATCTCGCTCCATTATCTTCACCCTTTATGACTCTCGTACCTTCACCTTTAAACCTTACCTCCTGAAACCCACACACATCAACTTTCCTTCTCTTCAACATGTCCGCCACTTCTGCACTCCTTCCCTTCATTGTCCCAACGTTTACTGTGCCTACCCGAAGGGTGACACTTCCACAACCATTCGATCCGGAGATTCTTCGCACCCCCTGCCCACTGAAGGGCTGCCGGGGACTGAGGGCCATATCTTCTTTTCCAAAGTCCATGAATTTTGTTGGAGCAAATGTTTTACGGTAGGATGCCCTTCCTTACACCAATTGTTAATGACACCATCGACAAATGTTAATGACACCATCGACGAATGTCTGTTTCCACATTCGTCGATGGTGTCATTAACATTTTGAGCCAACTTTAAAATGTTTGGGCAAACTCATCAATCTTCAATTTCAGTTTGTACAAAATTCAACCTTGACAAGTTCCATAAGCCAGTGAAGTGCACCAAGGAGCACTGGCCATGTGTGAGGTGAGTCAACATTGGATAATGATGTTTGAATGGTGAAGTACCGAAAATCTTCAAGAGTCTTGGTTACCCCTTGGTAAAACGGACACATAAAAAACTGAAAGAAAAACTCTTCTGGTTTTGAAAGAAAAACTCTTCTGGTTGGACTGATATGGCTATAAAGGAACTGTAAAATACAACTGCAAAGTAAATTGCAAAGTTCATAGAGATTTCAGGCTCGGTAGGTCACAAACATTGTGTGAATTATGTTATACATTGATTACTAGAATGCAAATTGGAATATTTGTCATATGATAGCAATATGATGTTTTATATCAATGCTGCATCATATTAATGCTGTATTTGTTTCGATTGTTGGTCTGGCATATGGCAGATAATGCACTGCGTGCAGAATTTATAGCAGAGTAAGATAGCCCTGAATGAAAAATTTAGTTAAAAATTGAATGATTGTGGTAATAGAGGGATTAAAAAATTCACATTTTGTAGCAACACAAAATTGACTCCATTTAGTTATATAAGTTTGGTATTGGGTTTTTGTTCCCTTTCTCCAAGAGGCCATGATTATCTCTGCTGAACTTGGAGAGACACCTATTGACGTAAGTTGTTGCCTGACACAAGACATATTTTCAACTCTAGCTTTTTTACTAGTGGATGCACTTCTGTTGGTGCAGCAGGTTTTGCGACGGTGGACAAACATGAGGAGGTTGTAAAAGTATTGGTTCGATTAGGGGATACCAAGGTTGTGTTGGCCAATTTGGTATTACCAAAATGCCTGTGGCTTTTTCCTGTAGAATTTTTTGAACAGTTTGTAAGATGCAGCTGAAAGGAGGGAAACAATAAAAGTTTAAGTTTTTCCACGGGATGGAGAACGCATCAATATATGTTGCCTCAGGGTCTGGTCGATAAGAGCAGTATTGATTAAACTGTTTGTTTAGTCGTGAAGCAAATAAGTCAATTTCAGGCTGGAAATTAAACTTGCTCATGGCAATCTTGATACAAACGGGATTTAACCTCCATTCACCTTCACGGTACAATTTTCTTGACTCTTTATCCGCAATTACATTTTTTGACCCTGGTAAATGTGCGGCAGATATTTTGATTTTGTGCATTATGCAAAATTCCCAGATTTCTAATGCTGTAGTATTTAACATGACACTATGACTAGTGCCCATATTGTTTATGACAAACACTGCAGTACTATTGTCTACCATCATTTTAACATGTTTATTTTTTAGATTAGAAAGAAACGATTTTAGCGCAAATAGTACGGCTTTCATTTCTAGAATATTGATGTGATATTCAGTTTCATGTTTGCACCAGTTTCCTCCAGTGTACTCTTTCCCTAGGGCGGCCCCCCAACCAGTCAGAGATGCATCTGAATAGAGGACGATGTCAACTGGTATAGATAGAATGTATTTAAAAGAGTCCTTTAAATTTTTTAGCCACCATTTCAACTCTGCTTTGGATTCATCGGAAATAATCATAAACGATTCAAAATTGCCTTTGTTTTGTGATAATGCTAAAGTTTTATCTTTCTCAAGCTTGATAGTAAAGCGGTCCAAATTCCACTGCTGGAAGGCTTGATACTATATGGCCAATTACCTGAGCCACCTCTCTAATCCGAACCTTAGCGGGCGCTAGAATTGCTTTAATAAGGGAGAGCAATTTTTCTTTTTACTATTGGTAAGTTGAATTGTCATGGTTCGTGAATTTATTAAAAAACCAAGAAAAGTTATTTCTTGTACTGGAATAAATGCAGATTTCAATGGGTGAATGACAAAACCGAGCTTCTCTAATAAAATTAAGGTTTGTATAATTGTGTCAAGGCACTTTTCATAGGAACAGCCTACCAGGAGTAAATCATCGACGTATATAATGACAATGTGACCTTTTACACGTAATGTGGCCAGAACTGGTTTAAGTAGCTTAGTAAATTTCCTCGGGCAAGAGGAGAGGCCATTAGGAAATGCTGTATATTGGTAAAATTTTCCTTTGTAAAGGAATTTTAAGAACTTTTGAGATTCTGGATGGACAGGTACGCTATAGTAGGCATCTTTTAAATCTAAAGAGGCCATCCAGCAATCTTTTGTGATAAGTTTAAGTACAGTGTGCATATTTTCCATCTTAAAATGAAAGTTTTCGACCGATTCATTTAGTTTCTTTAAATTTAAAATCAGGCGGACTCCACCATCCTTTTAGGAGTGGTAAAGATAGGTGATACAAATTCAGTAGAATCAAATTTACTAGGAATAATTACTCCTTTATCTCTCAATGCCTGAATAGCTTCATCGATTTCGCTTCTTCCTTGTTTAGGAAGAGAGTGAGGAGGAGACTGGTGCTGAACTGGTTTAAAACCTTTAACAGAAATTTTTGCCCCTGAAACCATCTCAAAAATATCGGGGTCTGTAGTAAGCTTTGCCCATTCATTGTGGCATAGTTTAATTGGACCAGCCTGAAATGAATTAACTTTTCTGGTCAAATAAGGTTTAAGTACATGCTCAACAAATTCTGAAAATTGTGTTACCTGATTTTTTAATAACTCTAGTTCTTTGTGAATGTTTTCCGGTTCTGGAAGTTTTGGGGTTTTCTGGGAGGAAACTGTGCCGTCCCTTGTTGGTATAAAAAAGGCTTGCGTGCCTGTGATTGGGTTGATGAAAACCGTTTTGTAAAAATAGTTTGTGCCCGTTGGCCTGGATTGGGTATAAGATTCATTACTGTCTTACTAGAGCTTCGAATATCTTGAGCACATTTTGCTAGGTCTTCCCCAAACAAAAGAGGGCCCACTTTGTGAGTCCTTGCACAGAGCGGTTTAAAATCAGGATGAAGTATGGGCCGAATTGCCTCTTTGCGCTTGTATGAAAGTTCTTTGCATACATGGCCAAATTAATCAGTTACATCAAGCAGTGTTGGTATAAGAGCTCTATAATTTGGAATTGTCTTATTTTCCCTGCATTGTAAAAGGTTGTCAATGCTACAAGCAATTTCAGAAATAAGATCATCGTTATCGACCGCGTTTTCAATTTCTGAATCAATTTCTGGTCCTCCGAATAAACTCAAAGTATCGTCTGATTCATGCACAGTCTCAGAGTTTCCCTCAGTACTTTCAGACTCAGGACTTTGCTGGTCAAATGAGCGGTCATTGCCGTCAGAATTGTGCCTAGACTTTGTGGCAATTTTTGCCCTCTTTGGGCAATAATTCATTGTTTTCAATAGACGCACGTGGTCGCTTTTTGGCGGCATTATGCTCGTCAAATATACCTTTCAGATATTTATTCGTTTCTGACATGTTAGCCTCCATAGCCGAAAGCAATGAGTATAAACGTGAGTCACCGCTAGTGGGAGCACTATCAGGCCGTTGCGGCGCGCAGATTTCATAAAATTCAGACACGGCGTGCTCGTCATCGGTTAATGATTCGGATGACATACTTTAATTGTTTCTATATAAATGGAACAAAAGTTATGAACAATAACGTAAGGAAAACGATAAACTTATCTGTAATTAGCGATTGTATCCTTTTTAGAAGATCCTGTGAGAAATTGTATTATGGATGGGAAGGATTATAATGAATAAATATCCTTCCTAAATTTTTCCGTAGCTTCGCTTGCTACAAGACGTACACAACTGGCTAACTTGCGCATGCGTATGCTCTCTCTCGTACAACTCTGACACGACCATAGCTGATGACGTAGTAGAATTCATTACAACACAACAAAAATACAACGCATGCGTCGATTGGTTTGCTTAAGTTTCATTAGGGAGCTTTAGCAAAGAGTACGAATTACGTCATTTTGGCGCGAAAACATTGTGACATCAACAACTCGTAGCCGTCATCAATCTGAGTACGATATCTATGATGTCTTTTAAAGAAACGAAAGTAGGTATATTTATTTATTGTGCAAGAACTTAGTTTACAATACTTTTTTTGACCTTCCAAGCTTTATTTCAGTATCTTTTTATGAACGCAGGTTTACAATAAAAACGAAAATACGACCTGCAAAACTTCCATATATCTGGGACGCAAAGTGAATTATAAAAAGACAATAAAGTAATGCAAATATACAATCTATAAAAGGTAGAATAATGAAGATTTTTCTCTCTAAACAGTCCTATACCCACCCACGCTAAATCAGTATTACGAATTCATCGATATTATTATTAACAAATAGAGCCGTAGCTGCTTCTCAAAATGCGGTGTTTTTCACAGGAAAAAGCTCGTTCTGTTGTTTACGGCTAAAACAACCATTTGACGACGCGACAACG